GGGGCGAGCCTGCACCTGAGGTGTGCTGGACGAAGAACGACAGGGAGCTGGTGTCTGACGACCGCTACAAACTCAAGTTCGAGCATGGCAAGTTTGCCAGCATCACAATTGCTACCGTCACCACGGCTGACTCTGGCAAATACGCCCTGGTGGTCAAGAACAAGTACGGCACAGAGGCTGGTGAGTTCACTGTCAGCGTCTACAACCCAGACGACGACGAGAACAAAGAGAAGAAAGGCTAAAGGATGATGATGCTGTGTTATGAAATAAAGCAGAAAAGATGAACAGCTGGCTTATCTCCAAAGCATTTTATTCTGGCACATGCCGGTGCACCAAAGCAGTATGAATAAAAGATGAATACAGCTGCTTCCTCCTGCGTCTTTCATGTGCTGGGCTAAAGAGCTTTGGGTATTACTTTTCGAAGAAGCAAACTTTGTATGTAATACAGATAGGATAATTGTATGCATGTAGTGGTTTGAGATGTCTTCTGTTAGCTCAAGCAAATATGGTAAATTATTGTGATGTTTCCTCAAGGAAAATGGTTCCTTCATCTTTCTGTTTATTTTTTTCAAAAATAGCATTAAGGCCAAGAAGAGCACAATGCTGTTCTCTCACAATATTACAGAAATTAATTCAGAAGATTTCGACCTCAGGCCTGAGGTTTGTGTAAAAAAATAAAGGAAAAATTGATGTCATGAATTTCCGAGCAAGTATTTGCTTTGTGTTGTAAGACATATCACATGCTACAGGGATTTCAGCTTTTTGTATCTATTTCTAGAAGTTAGTTATTATGTTAAACGTGTACTGTGTGCATGTATGTCATGTGCCTGGGGTGTTTGCAAGCGACATTACAAGTGTCAATCATTACAACAGTCTGGAGGTGGTGGAGCAGGAAAACCCTGATGACGTGTTGAGTAGTTTTTAGTCTGACCGTAAAAACATGCAGTGGAAACTGGTTCATTCAAGGTATCTCACACAACAATAATACCACAAGCAAAGTAAAACAGGCATAACTGGAATACTCTAGGATGTCTTATCTGTACAAGCGAGTGTCAAACTGTCATGTTCATTTGTTGAAGGGGGGGGGTGGGGGGGTGTATTTCTGGTATGTTACTATGAAGAAAAATCATATGGATGAGTGGCCCTTAGCATTTTGTCTGAGGCTATGTGTCTAACAAGTTAAACATGCGTCTGTTTCCTCTTTAAGGCACTACTTTTCCTTCAAAAGTTGCATCTCCTTTAGAGAGAAAGGTAAAGTATGTAAAGTTCATAATCTCCCATTCACTTCATTGTAGGAACCCCAACTGGATTGGGGACAACTAATTTGAAACTCACAAGTTCCAAAAGTATCCTGGTCCCATAAAGTGAATTTTAGAAAGCCCAAGAGTTGATATTCAAGATTTCCAACCACTCATCCACATGTGATCCTTTTGTGTCACAATACAGTCACTAAATAACATCCAATATGACTTGCTCAGGTCAAAGTCTTGCTAAATGTAATGAGGGTGTTCCACTTTATTGTGTAATTTTTAACCCTGTACTCGCCTGAGCTGTCACACACACACACACACACACACACACACACACACACACACACACACACACACACACACACACACACACACACACACCCCGGCTGTGTGAGTGAACCACCACAGCGCGGCTCTCTGTCCCGTCAGCCGCGGTGGTCCAGACCCGGACACGTCAGGAGGCTTCAGGTGGGACTTCATCGGGCACAGAGATGGGGACTTACTGAAGACACCGTACACTCCTTCATCTGCAGCATCCCGCTAAAGCAGAGGTAAATAAACAATCAGCGATAACTTCATCCCCTTGTTTCTTGATATCCAGTCACCGACCTGAGATGATTCTCTTGATTCTCCCGTCTGCTAATGTTAGCTAGCTTGTGAGCTGGCTAGCACACATTGGGTACGCTAGAATAGATTTACCCCAGATATATAACTACAAATGAGGACACCGGGTTAATCACAGTTGCACCTCAAAGTGACCTCTTTTCGTTGAAGACTAGCGCTGGTTACCGTTTCACCAATTACTGTAAGCTAACGGTAAACGGAGGATAACATTAAAGCTAGCTGCGGGGTAAACAGCTAGCTGAGCCCCGTGTCCATTCATTTATTACACTCGCTCATGTTTTTTTTTTACCGAACAGATAATGTCTTGAATATGATATGAACTTACAGGGAACACAACACTATAGACATACTAAAAATGATTTTGGTTTCTGTTTGTTTATTTCCGCAGTTTTCGTTCAGGTAACATTAGAGTGCTTCTGTACTAGTTGTGTTTTTATGACGCGACGTGTCAGCTTGAACACCTGGAATTAGATGTTTTGGCACCATAAAATAGTGTCTAAACAGCATAAAATAGTGCTTAAACAGCAAAAAATAGTGCTTAAACAGCAAAAAGTAGTGCCAAAACACCTTAAAGCAGTGCCTAAACACCATAAAGTAGTGCCTAAACACCATAAAATAGTGCCTAAACACCATAAAATAGTACCTTAACAGCATAAAATAGTGCCTAAACAGCATAAAATAGTACCTTAACAGCATAAAGTAGTGCCTAAACAGCATAAAGTAGTGCCAAAACACCATAAAATAGTGCCTAAACAGCATAAAGTAGTGCCAAAACACCATAAAATAGTGCCTAAACAGCTGTGGTCCGGTGTATGTTGTTATCAGCTGTCACTAAAGTATTAGATGGCTTGTAAGCAATGCTGACAGTTCACCAAACAAAATCACCTGCCAGTGGGTGCTGTGTGAAAACACAACTAACTTGGTAGGGTACAGGTCACCTTTTATACTCAAATTACTTATAATTAGCTGCTTTATGATACCTTTAGGAGTATATTTTAACTAACTTCGAGGTGTTCTAGCCAAGACTAATTCAGTTTGTTCAATTTCCTCTTCATACTCTTTTGGTTAATGCTGAACTAGGGCTGGGCGATATGGACCAAAACTCATATCTCGATATTGTTTAGCTGAATGGCGATACTCATTAACAGTGGAAAAATAAACTACCTGTTTGTGAATTTAAAAAGTAATATTATAAAATAAAAATGTTCCTTAAATACAATAAAGAGGGAGAGAGAGGAGGAGCAGGGTTAAGAGGGACAGACAGTCAGTCATCATCAGTGAGATGAGAAAAAGGTGAACTGGCATCTCTGTAACGTTATTTTAACGCAACATAAACTATATCGATACTAACAATATTGTCTTACCCTATATCTTGTTTGAAAATACATCGATATATCTTAAAAACTCAATATATTTCCCAGCCCTATGCTGAACCTGTTTTGAAAAGGTGTTCCAAGGGAATTTGTAGGGGAAGTTTTAAGAGCTCTTGTTTAGTATTGTGACTTACAGGCGAAATGTTGAAACACTTGAACCTCTAACACTACACTGTTATTGCACCATAAAAGATTGCTAACTGACTGAGTCTCTGTTTGAAGTTTGAAAGTAAAGCAAATAATCTCTGTAAGAAAGATAGTCGTGAAAGCCATCTGGTTTAGTTTTTCTGCTCTGGCTGAGGGAGCTTACATTTTGAAGCCAATGAAAACTCCAATGATGTTGGACTTTTCTTTCTCAAAGGTTGTAGCTTCATCCCTTAGTTGCACAATTAGTGTAAAAAAAAAAGGTCATAATAGAGAGTTTAAATGTTGATTTAGTGTTTGAATTTAAAAGCTGTTTTTCTCTTGCACTGCAATAGAATGTAAAAAGGAAAGCCAAGACTGTCTGTCCGGGGTTGTTGTAGTCTTGGTTTGTGTTGCATGCATAATAAGTAGGCTCAATTTGGTGCAATTTGGTGCTCCATGGTGATACCCAATACCTGAGAGAGTGTAACATGAAGCTTGTGGTCTGGTTGCCCAGCTCAGTCACACGACTGATTCTTTTGTCACTCTCGTCAAAACAAATGAGCCCTGGATCATTCCCGATGAAGACTATTATTATGTAGTAAGGCTAACTAGGACTCCTAATGTAGAAAGTACGGCTACATTTATGCTTTGATTCTTCTGTATGTATTTGCTAAATAACTTTTGATTGCTATTTGTGACTCAGTACACACAGTAAAGGGGCTGTTTTTATAAATGGAAAGTTTTACTCTATTTATGCATGACAAACAAACATTCAAACACAGAACAGATCACTGCAGAGGGGGAGGGTGAACAAACAGCCTTGCACTCAGTTGGCCTCTCTGTTTTGTTTGATACTGTTTACAAAAGCGTTAGCAGATGGGACTCTCGGGATGAGGGTTTTTTGGAAGAGTCTTGTGTATTTTATTTATATTAAGCATTTCATTGAGAAGCTAAACCAGGCATGAGAATATTGGAGGTCCGAAAAACGAGAAACTCCTGATGACAAAAACATGTTCATCATCAGTGTCATGAGTATGCCTACTCCTTCTGTCTTGAATGTGCTATGATTGGATCTAGCAGTTGAGTTAATATTTAATAGTGGAAGAGATAATCTCTTCAGGTATTTACAGAATTTACACTTGTTTACTTTTGGGATCACATGTCAGGCTTAATGAGCAACTGAAGATCAACATGTTGATGTCCATCGTAGTGAATATCGCATGGATTTGCTCCTGTAGCCAATCAATGTCATCGTTCCCCCCCTCGGCTCCTCCTTTTGATTAGCGATGCACAATAACAAGCACACGCAGCAACGGCCGTACATGTGACTGACTGCAAAGACATCACGCTGCAGTGTACTGCTTGTTTTTTTCCCTGAGCTTGTGCTCTTATCAGGGAGAAAACGTTGCATAGCAGTTCACTGAAATTAGCTGTCACTTATCAGCAATGCACCGCCACTTTAAAGAGGTCATCCTATTGGCTGAATCAACACTGTCCTGTCAGCTGACTGAATGAACACATCAAGCCCCAGAGGAAGGATGACCAAGTTTATGATAGTGTTGCACAATCTCCACTAGTGTCAGATAGTGGTGTGCTAATATTTACCCCTGTTTTCCAAAGTGATTAGGTGGGCCATAATTGATATTGGATTCAAGATGGCAGGGAAGTTCTGTCTTCATAACTTGAGAGAGGTCAAACTTGGTCCCAGTGGAGTACCCTGATGTAGGTGAAGTAAGAGCTGGTGCTCTATAAACGCCATGAAGAGACAGAGATCATGGGAGGACAAAGATCTCCTGGGAAACAACACAGAGGACAACACCGACAACCGTGATGAGTTCTCGTCTCTGAGATTGTCTTGGTCCCTGGTGAGTCAGCTCTGACAGGTCTCTGTCTCTGGCAATCCCATTCTGGGCATGATGCTGGAAGGCCTAACTACACTATGATTCATCCGCCCGTATTGTTTGGTTTGGAAGTTAGCTTGGCTTTGTGGTATACTTTTGTAGCAAAGCTCAGTGGTTTGGCACCTGACCACACTGAATCGGCTGGATTTTATGAGTCTTGGGGTGGCATTCAGAACCCTTTTTAGGTGTAAGTTTGACTGTTAAAAAAGAGGATGGCAGATTGATGTCATGTTTTGTGTTTTAGATTTTTGAATATATTCCTCTAGTCATTCAACCTAAATACTAAGCCTGTTAAAGTTGTTCTTTCCGATATGGCAGTTCTTTGTGTGTACTTCTACTTCTGACTGAGTTGATAATGAATGAAGGTGGCAGCAGGTAAAACATGTTGTCACACGTGACTGAGTTCAAGATAACAGAATACTGGCACCTTTCCAGATGTCTCCTATGTAAGGGCAAGTTTTGTTTTTAATGTATTCTTTTTGCTCGCTCCAATTTTCTTTATGCATTTAACTTCTAGTCTATCTGAACAATCCGGTTGTGCGCTGGATTACTCTGATCTTGAAAAATGTCTGTTCCTGCTCTAGCTGCACCCTGGATGAGTAGCACAGCTGTGCACAGTCCACCCATTGGTCCTCAACTTAATTAGCTATAATATAGCATTTCAGTTGTTACAGTAAGTTTAGAAGTTCTGCCTAACAAGCATTTGTACCAAAGCAAAGGGAACTTTGGTTCAGATAGTAGTTTCATTTAGAGTTCCAGTAAAGGTAAACAAACTCTAACCTCAGGCCCAAGTTGTATTTCCCATCCCCCTTTTCTAGAAATGCCTGTGAAGTTCCTAGAAAGAACCTGAGTTTCCTGTTGTTGATAGAAGGTGTTGCAATAAGTCATCTGCTCCCCTTTACAACCATTTGAACTGTCTACTCAAAATGATGGATGTATTTAATGATAGTCTACCGTCTGTGTGGTTGGAAATGTGAGTTATCCTGGGTAGCCTGTATATGTACTGTGTATGTTTAATTGCTACCTACTCACTAGCTTACTGTCTGGAGACACATATGATCCCAGAGTTTCTCATATTCCATGATGCCAGCCTTTCACAAATGCCCTTATTCTCCACCCTGTAAGAGCTCACCCCCTGCTGCTCTCATGGCTAGAATCTGGACAAAAGGTCAGTGTGAGATAGGAGCATTTCAGGTTACACAAATGCAATGAAGTCAGCAGGGGAATGTGTTTACAAGCCCCACTTAACTAGACCCAGACCTGAACAAACCAAAAATTATGTTTGCTGAGTTAAATACACTCTATATCACAGTGTGCAAATGACTGGAAATGATCCAGTCAGTGAAGGAGCCAGAGGAGGGCTTGAAAGTTTGTTTGATTATGTTTAATAAGCCTAGATCTGCCTCTGGGTTTTCTCTCTGATTGACTTCCTTTTTATTGCTTTTAAAATAATTAACAGACTTACAAGCAAGTGACAAACATAATGTGCCCACATTGTACCCAAGCCTGAATAGTCTTAGACACAGAAGTCTTGGTTTCAGTTCTTTTTTCGCTGATTACTGCAGAGTTATGACTGTAAACAGGAAGTCAGCTGCTTCCATAGCAGAAGTGCAGTGGGAACTCAGTGTGAGGTTGTCTCTTGTCATTGTTTGAGCCCAGTCTTCAGCCCCTCCTCTCTGATGTTGCTCATGTGGGACAGCGGCCAGTGACGGGGTAACAGTGGAGCTCTGGCTGTCGGTATGCGGGTCAGGAGATAACAGACACCGCAGATCAAGCAGGCTGAGAGGGCGGTGAGAGACGAAAACATAACTCAAATGAGACAGCGCGACAGTCACGAAGAAGATTCTTAGAAAGGAGGGACAACAGTTGATAGACTGAGAGGGTGCAAGGGAAATTAAGTGGGAAACTATCAGATTCTACGCTCTGTGTTGGCCAAACTGATCTCCTCTTCTGGACTCTAGACATGACGCACTCATCCTGGCTTTGCCTTGACTTAGCTAATATTTAGTTCTTTCTCCCCCTCCAGGCGGACACCATGAACTACGTGGGCCAGCTGGCAGGTCAGGTGCTGGTAACTGTCAAAGAACTCTATAAGGGCATCAATCAGGCCACATTGTCGGGCTGCATCGATGTTGTGGTCGTCCGCCAGAGAGATGGCACCTACCAGTGCTCACCATTCCATGTGCGCTTTGGCAAGCTGGGCGTACTGCGCTCCAAAGAGAAAGTGGTAATTACCTTCTTCTTTTATCATTGTTATTATTGTGTTTTCTCTTGCTGATATGTCCCAGTAGTTATTATTTCACATATTTGGACATTATTTCAAACCTTTCAAAATTTCTCATCACAGCAGGAAAATGTTTCTGAAGCCATTTTTGGAGAATATGTTTATGCAAGGTTCTAATGTTTCCTTTTAAAAAAGCAGGCCCTATCCCTCAGAAAGTATTTTCCAGATTTGGACAGTCTTCAAGACCACTCAAACATAAATACGTACACTAAATGTGGCTAATACTGCATGCATGTTTATTTTCCAGAGAGAAACCAAGGTGTAGGGTACATCCACAGAAAAACTTTCACAGGTGCTCGATCAGAAGGCAAGAAAAGGTTCAGCACACTATATTAAAAGCCCCCAGAAACTTTTATTGCAAAAGCAACGTTTCAATCTCACAGGTCTTCTTCGGGCATTGTCGAGTCAACATCACAAAGCAAGACAAGTAACATTATAGGCGCAAACGAATTCATCACACGTGATTGTGTTCTGCATGATTGTCATGAGAGTCAACCCTCTCTCAAGTCAGATCAGTCGGAGGCAGAGCTGGACACTGTCTGTTACTCTGTATGGGGGGACAAAGCATGCCTCCATGTAAAGTACAACATCAACAGCTTTGAGCTGATAGAGCTAGATATACACACATCATGAGTTGCTACTGTGCAGCTTTTAAAAACAACAGAACACTGTATGTGTGCACATAATGTGCTTTATTGACATTTCCATGAACCTGCAGTTATGGTGGCCTACCTTTCTAAGAAATTGGGATATGGATTTCAGATAAATATTGACCAAAGTGAGAGACAGAGTGACAGGTCCCTTTACATCCTTATATTATTAGCTTGTGTTTAATAACACTGGGAAGTTAAAAGTTGAATCAACTAAAAACATCTATGTGAGTCTTTGTGTCCATTACCTCAAATTATGTTCAAAGATCCAATGTTTACCCTACCTCCCACCACCTCAATAAAAGGTACAAAAATATATATTTATATACTTTATGTGCCCCCCCTGTCAGGGAGCTGGGACCCCCCCCCCCCCCCAAAAAAAAAAGCAAAAGTTAGCAGTAGAGTGACCTATTGTGATGTTTTGAAGTAGGGACTTTTATAGGTGGGATGCTCATGGCGTTTCTGCTTGATTAATAGTAGCTGTTACTATGATATAATAACAATAAAGCTATATTTAGCGCTCACTTCTGACTTCAGAAGATTCACTGATAGTTCTAGTAGTAACAGTACTAGTAAAGTATACTGTAGTAGAATAGAAGGGTCTAAATGTAATACCAAATATTATAGGTTTTAAAAAGTGTATCTAGTTCAAGATTTAAAACAAGCTGCTTCAGAATCAGGGAACATAGCCTTTCTTGTTAGTGAACTTCAGGTTACTTGAGTTTATAAGCTTACATAAAAATTCTGAAAATGACTGGGCGTTCTGTTTGCAATTAATGGCTATTATTAGACAGCCATTATAATTGAATGTGTTTTTCCAGCACAAGCTCTATCACTGATGTCCAGAACTTCTATTCTTAGCACATTATTGCCGTGCCCTGACGTGAAAGAAAGCGTATTTTCTTGCTTTTGGAGTGGAGTGGGTGATGATTTGCGGGGGATTGACACTCTCTCTACACCCACTCAGAATGCTGATGGGGCTCAGAGGGAGTACTGAATGAGTGGTTCCTATGGCAACAGCTCTACAACTTGAATGTGTGGGAGGGGGAAGGAAGTGAAGAAGGCTTCAACGAGTGCTGTTGTGTAACAAACAGTTATGCATAATGTGTCCCTGAGTTACTTATCAGATCATCAAGGGCTTCTGCTGAATTTATTTTTCACATGTTTTTTGGACCAAATACTTAATGTTGAATTTGCTCCTGTCATGCAGATATTCACAAAAAATCAGAATGGGAAACTGTAGATGCCTGCCAAGTACTAATTAAATGTTGGCTTTGGATAGTGTGGCTGTCACAGAACACTAGTATCTTAAGTTGGCTATCAATCATGTTTTTAAAGAACTCTCTGATTCTAAACACATTTGAGATAAAGACATTACATAGCCTTACATGAAAAATTAATTTATTCGACTTAAAAATGTTTTTGTTTTTGTTGTTATTTTGTTTTGTGTTAGTTTGTTTTTGGTCATAAGAAGGGAAAAAGCTTCTAAAGGTGCATTGTCTCTGATGATAACAGTCAGAAACAAGCCAATGCTGTGCCTTTTATTCTGAGTTTCTGCAGACGGCCATGCCACGAGTAATTCCAGTTAACCAGCATTGTGTTGTCACATCAATAACTGAGTCATTCAAGTGAATGTAACTTACCACTGACTGTGAAAGGTTGAAGAGGGCCCTCACTTATTCTGCCTCATTATTAATTGGGCATTGAAATTCCCAGACATCACTCACCACCACACATAAACTCCCCTTCAGCAACCCAGAGGGTATGACGGAAAATCTTGAGGCTGCTGAGAAAACCACACAAAGCGAAATACGAAAGATCACAAGAGTATGTAAAAAAAAACAAAAAAAAACAAATGCATGATGTTGGTGGCTGTAAGTAAAGAAGTAATTTTCATGTCAGACCGAGAAGAGAAGTTGTGAATAAAATTGCTCCTCTTTTTTAGTCTCTGCCAGTCGTGACCTGGTTTCTGCTTTTGTGGTGTCAAGTTTCTGAATGGTTGCAGATCCACTGGGGTTTTTCTTGGCAATCTTGAATGGCCCTGTTCAATTGGCAGGCTCCATCGAATGCAAGCCCAGAGGACTAATTCTTATTAAGATTTCAAAAGCTTCAGGAGAAAGATGGGGGTGTAAGCCGCTCGTGGCCTCCTGCTGTATATGGCCTGAAAATGTGTAGGATGAATAATAAAAATAAAATGTTTAAAATCCTTTAAAGGGCAAATAACAGCAGATAGATACACAATATGTGTTTAATCACAATCAAGACGTTCTTCACAGTTACAGTGCCCTAACATTGCTTGTATGTTCTGTCAAATTCTTCCAGATCGACATTGAAGTGAATGGAGAGCCGGTAGAATTGCACATGAAGCTTGGTGACAATGGAGAAGCCTTTTTTGTTCAGGAAACTGAACAGCTGAACGTAAGCATCCAATTGACTACACATAGATTAATATAGCACAACATTTCCTTTTCAAATAAAATGGTAAAGCAATACAGTTCTAAATCAATGACACAAACTTTTATCTAGATTTTATTTTGTTAAGCATAGTTGCTGAAGTCACTGGAGATACCGAATAGATGCAAGTAGTCTTTATTCCAAATCCAAAGAGGCATCTTTTTCATGGTTTTATAATTTTTTTTTTTACTTGTGAAGCAGACTCAACGTATTTTAGATTGTGATTGTTTAGTTTCCATCCTTTGATTAACCTGTAATTTAATGAATTTGAGGAATGTCATACACACAGGGACAATAAAACCAGATTTTGTTTTTAGACATACTCCACCAGAAAGACAGATGTTCACAATGTCTAGACCCAACAAAATTGTAACAGTTCATTTGAACTTGTTGTACAGTGTAGTGCAATGTACTCATTGTGACAGCTCAGAGAGACAAAAGCTCTGTTCTTCTGTACATGAGTCATCAGCTTAACTATGCTGCTCTCGTTTAAACATATCTTTAGTCTTCAGTTCTTGCATTTTCCCTTGATTCAGCAGATTGTCCCTGCCCACCTCGCCACCTCTCCAATCCCCACCGAGAGTCATCTGTTCTGGATCTCGGAGGTTGAGCAAAAAGAGCTGGAGGATGACACAGCTGACCAAGAGGACCCGCCCGATCCTCCTACCCCGAGCACCATGGCAACGAAGAAGAAGAAGAGGCGGAGGAAGAAGCACAAGGGGGATCCCCGAAGAGAAGAGCTGACCCCTCCAATGTCAGTCACTACTGGTAATGCTAATGCTGCTAACATACCTGCTGCTATGACTGCTGCTATGTCCAGCGCGGGACAAAATGAAGAGATCTTTGAGATGGACATGAGCTCAGACGAGGAAGTTGCAGCACGTATTTCAAGGTATGTTCAGGGTCTGTAATGCAGCGTCAAATATCTGATTAAAAGATCTATTTGAATATCTGATTAATATATCTGTCTCACCCTGGATTTAGATCACCATCAGTGTCCACCATGCGCGATATTGACCCAAAATTACCTGCAGCCAGACACAACGTTGATGGTTATCCCCTGTCCGATGGGGACTGGCCGGCAGATGACAGGTATGTATTCACATGAGCACATAGCCATAAAAAAAGGGTGTTGCTGAAACATGTTAAGAGACTTTAACTTTGTATTGTTTTGCATTTATTTGTCCGTCCCTTTAGTCATGGCTTGTCTCAGGCTTTTTCCCCAAAGAGTGACTCTGAACTGATGGTCAGACCCTCAGTGAGTATGCTCAGAGCTGAGTCCCACATGCAGTGGACTTGGGGAGAGTTTCCAGAAACAGCCAGGGTAAGCACTTCTCCCTTACACTCTAAAGAACATCATTAACAGAACCATAGACTGTAGAATGGACTGAGCAAAAAGGCCCTTTGGAGTGAAGCCATAGTAGAGCTCCCCCTTCTGACTGGCTGCCAAATAGGTCATACCCCCACCAACAGATGGAACATGGGTCAAACTGTAAAATCAAAATGCATGTCAGATACATTTTTCTCGAACCTTGTATTGCCATGACTGTTATTATCACACCCTTTTAGTTTCATCTTTTATCAGAGAAGTTTCTTAAGTCATTTGATGATGATAAAAACAGTATAAATGCCATGATGGACGGCTGTGTTGAAGAATATGTGCACCAGATACGCAGAGTATAGCAGAAATGGCCAGAGACAAAAGTCATTGAACTTTGTTAACCATAGGTGTCTGCTTTAAAATGACACTAGAATCTGTTCTGCTGTGGACTTTCCCACCGCAGCTCTCCCAGCCGAGCACTACTGCTCAGACTCTAGTTGCTAATTCACAATATGTCAGCGACTGTCACAGCAGTGTTCTGGCTTCATCTGGTTCAATGAAAGGAGGCTGAGGGATGCTGTTCACTAGATTCTACAGTGTATGGTCAGAAAAGTAAGTAATGTTTGGTATAACCTGTATTTTTAATATGCAGGTCCCCAAAAAAGAGAAACCAGAACTACTAAAGACGGTGACCATCACCCCATCAGACACCACCCATTTCCGAGTTATCCTTAGCTCTGAAGCCATGGAGAACGAGACTGAGACTGAGACTGAAAAAGAAGACGCTGCCTCCTCCTCAGTGTGTACCATTGTCAAGCCCAAGCCCCGCACCCCTATCACCACTGTAACATCTGATAGTCTCCTCACACCCATCTGCACAATTACCTCTGTGAGTCCCATAACCCCTGCAGAGCCCCTGGATGTCCTGCCATCAAATGTGGCAACCTCCACTCCTTCCAACAGCCAACAGAGCGATTCTCCCTCAAAGAAGAAAGGTATGTTTGTGTGGTTGTCACTTTTTTTTTTAGCCATCTCCTGCTTAGCAGTAGATTTGATGGTATATTAACTGAGAAGTAATTTATTTTTTTGAATCAAGGTGTCCCAAAAAGGAGCCAGCATCAGGGACCTGAGGATATCTACTTAGATGACCTGAATGTACTTGAACCTGATGTTGCTGCGCGATATTTTCCCAAGAGGTTAGATGACAAAAGAGGAACCTAATTAAGTTTGCTGCTTGACCTGTTTGAGTTAAAAATGGAAAGCTAAATGTGCTCTATTTAAAAACTAACAAATAGAAAATGTATTGTCCTCTAAAATGTCTCTTGTGCTTTTAGGACAAGTATCATGGCATGGTTTTTTTCTCTGTTGTTGCTGCAGTGAGGCTGAGGCGGCGACTAAGCACTGGATGGACTCAGAGATCCACTCTGGCTCACAGTCTCCACAGTCGGTGGGCAGTGCAGCAGCTGACAGTGGGACAGAGTGTCTTTCTGATTCAGCGAGTGACCTTCCTGACGTCACTCTTTCTCTGTGTGGAGGCCTCACAGAAAATGCTGAAATATCCAAAGGTACAACAGAATGGCACTTACCAGAGTGCTTTATGTGCAATTAAACCTCAGCCAGTTAAAATATAAACATTGTGTAACTACAGAGTTCTACTTATGATAGCCACATCTAAAAGCATAAAACTGATTAAGACTTTATTCTGTTTTTTTTAAATCACCTTGGTATGTTTTACTGTAACATTGCTTGCTAACTTTTTCCTTTAAGATCACGTGTCTCTTTTTGAAGTATTGAATCCACACACTACTTTCTTTCTTGTGTCTTAACCACCAATTTAGCTTTTCATTGAATTTGTTTAAACATATACATGCATCAACATGTATTTTTATATATTCTCTTGTGTCTGGCTGAGGATTAAAAAAAAATGTTCCCAGACTTTCTTGTGTGGCTTTAGGTGAGATGTTATGGCTCACTACCACTGACCTGTTCATCTGATGTCTTTAATTAATGCTCCTCTCTCTTCTGTTTGCAGAAAGGTTCATGGAGCATATCATCACCTATCAAGAGTTTGCTGAGAATCCTGCGATTATAGATAACCCCAACCTGGTTGTAAAGATAGGAAATAGGTTAGTAAGCATTTTTTTATGTCATGAGTGAAATGAACAACAGATTATTATGTCATATATATTATTATTATGTTATATATGTCTGATGACTAATGTCTTTGTCCTCAGATATTATAATTGGACACTAGCTGCACCCTTAATTCTAAGTCTACAAGCATTTCAGAAGAATTTACCAAAGGTAACTACTAGTTTTTTGTTCTATATATTTACAATATTGAAGCATTGTTGTAGATTGGCAGGTAGATAGTTGGTAACTGCGGTTGTCTGAATGTTTTTACCAGGCAACAGAGGAGGCCTGGGTGAAGGAGAAGATGCCAAAGAAGTCAGGTCGCTGGTGGTTCTGGCGAAAAAGGGCAGATAGTACAATCAAGCAGGTTTGCACATTTTAAATTTAAAGTACACTGCAATCAATCTCCTTAAGTTAGACTCGCACCTGTATGTTACTGTGCAGGATTTTGTTTTTAATCTAAAAATACAACTTTCTTCTTCAAGTCGGAGACCAAGCTTGAAACCAAGGAGGAGTCTCATCTGGAGGAGGAAGGACCCTCCATGTCTCAGGAGAAACTGCCCATGCCGTAAGTAATATGAAGGGTTCATTCATTACTCAGTAACGGTGAGAAAGTTCAATGACACATCGAACTCTGGTATGAAATTGTAAAAGATTCACAGCTCCATAAACCTTTTGTTTATTTTTGATAACTCTCCTTTTCATCAAAAACAAGGCTGTTTATGGCTGTGTTACAGGGCAGATCATGAGGAACGAGTACGTTGAGTAAATTGTGAAGTAGTGAATTTAATGTAGTAAATGTCTTCAACAGTTAAGAAGCCCCACAAATATATAAAATAGGAAAACAACAAAACCCTGCAAAATGCTTTTACATTATGCAGACACTTTTTTTCACTGCATTTTGTGAAAAAGATGATTTGTTTATGCTTCCTTGTAGGCCTAAAGCAGGAGACACGTCCAGTGATGAAGAGGGGAAGGAGGTGAGTGCTGCTTCCTGTCAGGACAGACTGCAGCCGGTGGAAGTTCAGCACCACACAAGCCCACACGCTTACAGGAAGTCACTGCGCCTCTCCTCTGATCAGATAGTAAGTGCTTTCTTACACAGATGCTTTCCTTCCTCAAAATGATCTTCTTCCTTCAAAGTATTTAATTATTTTGCCTTGTAATATTTAAAACATCAATATTTTTTATTTTTTATTTTTGTATACAACAGTTTAATTTAAAATAAAGGATAGACATGACCTCAAAGTGCAGAGTATAGTGAGATGAATGCATTACTGGGTTTATTTTGTAGTGTATAGCTCCCTCTGCTGGCCAGATATGTACTGCATAACACCTGCTCCGGTTATGGTCTGTAGGGGGCTCCAAAGACCTGCACATTCTACAAACTGTGGTAAATAAATCCTACTGCAGAGTATTGCCTCTGCCGTGGGAACCAATGTGTACTGAATGAGATAGCCTCTGCCTCCAGATGCCTTCACTGTCCTTCTTGTGTTACCAGGCTAGTCTGAAACTGAAGGAGGGACCCAATGATGTGACGTTTAGCATTACCACTCAATACCAAGGAACATGCCGCTGTGAGGGCACCATCTACCTGTGGAACTGGGACGACAAAGTCATTATCTCTGATATTGACGGCACCATTACCAAGTACGAATGCACAAGCAGTTCCACAGCCGCTCTGAGCAGAGTAGTGACGCTTCACTTCTTCTTTTCTGCTTTTTGCTTTGAATATAAATTAACACATAAATACTGAAGAGGCAAACTAGCTCATGTCAGACTAGCTTGTAGTTATTTTATCTGAACTGATTTTGGCAACACTGAACTGCACAGTAAATTATCGAACTAATGATAGAACACTTTAAAATGTCCATCATTTAAGGCATGTATTTAATGAGATAACAAAAAGTATCTTATGCCCTCTGTGTGGCAGCCTATTTCTCTTTTTGTATGATATACTTGACATTTACTGGCAATTCAAATTATGCAAAAGGTCCTGTGTAACAAGAGACGCACAGCAGTCTGAGTTCATGACCTGTAAGCTTCCAATTATCAAAAAAGGAAAGTCATGACCAGTGCCTTTAGTAGTTACAGATCTTCTTTATTGAACATTTAAAGTCAAAGGAAACACAGTAAGGAAGATGAATTTGTTTTTATAGATCACTTCATTTGCCTATTAACTTGTTTTGAACAGTTTTCTTTGATATGTCAATTGCAGTGGACAATCTCAAGTCCCTCTAGAATACCAGATATTCACTCTATAATCCAGTTGTATTCACGTTAAGCTGTTTAATTATATAAAAGCTGGCTTCATCTCCTCTGACGCAAACCCGATGCCGCGTGGTGTTCCTGACGCCCACACTTAGGTTCATAGGTGCTCAACATCAAACAGGTTCAGATTGACTGCAGCTTATTATCCCTGTGACCCTTTAGGTCAACCTGTGGCTTGTGGCTTTCATTGAGTAACAGGGTAAAGAGCACGGGGACTGTAATGAGCCCATTTACATTTCTGTCTGAAAGTACATGCAGCTATTGGCTTGGGTTGAGACAGTGCCTCCCATATGGGCTAGTGATCCTCATTAGTGGAAAGCAGTCTATAATGTTCTCTTTTTATGATGAAATGCTAAAGTGGTGATGATGCTTTATGTGATCTTCTTTCACGCCCTTTACTATTGATCTACTATGTATTCCCCGACTATTACTAAACATCTGTTACGTTTGTAGAGTCTGTGTCGCAGTGATGTCCACAACAGATGTCTGTGTCTTTATGTCGCTAATGTTTGTATGTGTTTGTGTAATGTTTCAGGTCAGATGTGTTTGGACAAATCCTGCCACAGTTGGGGAAGGACTGGACCCACCAGGGCATTGCCAAGCTCTACCACTCAGTAGCTGAGTAAGTGCACAACAACACTGATTAATCACAGAGGAAGGATGAATGGCCGGTCAGTGGTTAGGTCTGTCTGGTTTGATTCCCAATCGTCTCCCTGTGGAGTTGATATTTCCTCCCGGTGTTTGCGTGGGGGGCTCTGAGGTGGATGACTCAGGAAGTTTAATCAAGACCGAATTATTGTAAAAGCACCGCTTAAGCCCATGTCAGTGTTTGGCCACTTTTCTTAATGTTATTCCTTTTGTGAGTTTGAAAACTTGAATCTCAGCCTGTCTTATTCATACAGAGAATATATAGTTTGATACACATGGGAGGAAGTAAAAACAATTAGTAGTTGAAATAGATAATAATCTTTCCTATGTCAATTTTTCATGAGAGCAACAGATATAATTGACATAATTCAAGTGCTATTCGTGGTAGCTGCTAGTGATTGCCATAATATGAACCTGTATTGGAACATCTGCTAATGAGCGCTGCTCTCCACATTTGCAGGAATGGCTACAAGTTCCTGTACTGCTCAGCGCGTGCTATTGGCATGGCGGACATGACAAGAGGTTACCTGCAGTGGGTCAATGATGAAGGCACTATTCTACCCCGGGGACCTCTCATGCTGTCTCCCAGCAGCCTTTTCTCTGCCTTCCACAGGTACAAGAATTTATTATAATATCTAGAGGCAAAGAGGCACAGTAAATAGTTTCAGTGTCATGAAGCCAAAAGCTCTTCTCTTAAAGTCCATATCATGCACAATATATTTCGATTTCAAACCATCCCTTCTTTGTTTGTCTTTCAACTCTTGATTCTTTTGCCTGCAGACTTGCTTTCACATTAAATGTTCACAAGTTTTACGGTCAGAATCCTTTCAAAGCCATGTCCTTATAATCAACTTTTCTAATGGTGAGGTATTGAAGTATTGAATTACAGCTTGCCATCTGATCCTAGAAATAGAAATAAGCATTTTTAGAATTCTAAAAAGCAATGTTTTAAAAATATATATTTTTAAGCTATTTTTTGTGGAAAAAGTACCATAATTGTTCTTAATACGGAACCGTATGAAACCGATAAATACAGTTTATTGCATTTTATTTATTTGAAAACCGTTAATATCAGTGTAAACGTCAAGTTAATTAAAAGGCAACAACACATACGTGTTGACACAGGCAGTTGTAGTTGCTTTACATCATCATCAAGTGTTTGTACCTTCTTTATGGCTTAGACACTGTAGAAACACAGAGCGCACAAAGGGCAGTCTTATGCCGTTTCGAGCCATTCTCAATTCACTGTATTTAAAATGGCCAAAGCTTTAATTTTGTACCAATATAAAATATCAGCACAGACTGTTCAGTAGAATGTGAGAAACTGCTCTTCTGTATTTCAAACCTCATACATCATGGATTTTTGTGCAACCTTTTCATCTGCACCATTGTTGTGTCACTATAGGAGCCTGCAGGATGTGGATCTTTATCCGTACAGGATTGAATCAATACAGGGCCCCTGTCATATGGGACTTTTTCTTATCAGGTTATTTGTTTGTGTTAAGTTTTTAACTCAAATCCCTCTGTCCAGGGTTGCCAGGTTCGCTTATGAAAAGCGACTTGTTTATTGTCGTGGTTTTTTGGACTTGTTTCTAAAGTGTAGTTTTCTTTTTTGAGCTTGCCTTGTCCCTAAATGAACCCCTCCTGTTTTTCTCCCAGCTCTCTCTGATAAAGCTAAACACGATAATTGGTCCTGTTGCAGGATCTGTGTCCAACCTCGTTCCCCCGTTTACCCCCACCACTCCCCTTCCCCCTATCAATGCCCAGGACTAAGTGGGCAAAATACAGGAAAATAAAGAATGGAAGAAAAGGAGTGCTTTATAATAATGGATCCAACCTTAACTGGGAGACCAGTCAAATGCACTGGGTTACAGTAAAATCTGCTTTATTGTAGTTTCTGAGAAGCAGTTTGTAAAGTCTGAACTATCCTAGGAGAATTTTTTCAACACATTAAATAACCTCAAACGTTCAACATCTTGATTTTAGTCTGCATGGAAAAAGGAAAATGTAAAATTACAAGTTACGGTAGGCTATTGCTGATGGTTGCTTATGCAATGCAGTCATAACTTCATACATATACTGTGATCAAGTGGCCTCTTTCTTACACACTGTGGTAGGTAAGGTCGCTGCATGTTTTGAGCTTTTATTTATTTGAGCTTGTTTCCATAGACCTGGTTGCTTATTTCTCTGGTTGCCTATGTCTTGCTGTTCAGCATCGTAGAGAAATATATATGATACAATATTGTGCAATAGCTTTGCTACCTACTGCATTGTCTCCTCTAAACAGTTTTGTTTTCCTTTTATAATGTGACTGTAAAGTATCTTTGCATATTTTGAAAAGCGCTTTCTAATGTTACATATTTAATTATTTTAAACCAAAGGTCTATCATGCCTTAACTACAAACATAGTACATTACAAAGTTTTATCCAAATAGAAGAAAGCAGCTTGGGTTTAAAGTAAACATGTGTTCAGTAAAGTGAACTGTAATTAGAGCTGACCCATGGTAAGGACATGTATATGTTTGTCTCACTAATCAAACTGTCTGTTTGCTTCAGGGAGGTCATTGAGAAGAAACCAGAGATCTTCAAGATTGAATGCCTTACAGATATCAAGAACCTGTTCCAGCATAACAAGCAGCCATTCCACGCCGCCTTTGGGAATCGAACTAATGTGAGTTAATGGATGTTTAAAGATGTCAGACTCACGGACATTAGCGCTCTCACTGTTACATGTCAGTGAGCCGTGTTTTCCAAAAGTCGATGCAGTGATGATGTATTGCAAGATCAACATGACAGTTTGGCTATCAATTAGCAGACACAAACATATGAAATCAGTACTGGGCTGAACCTGAGCTGAGGTCACTGGCGGAGAAGAACGTTCCCATGTGACATTATCTGTGCAAGGGAGCTCAAGCCGGGCACAGCATCTCATCTTCAGCTGCGTAAACACCAACACCTAGATGAAGCACGGGGGCCAGCCATCCAACCTCAGCCTGTCCCTAATGCTCGCCAAAGAAAAGAAAACAAGAAAAGAAACACACACAGACATACACAGTCTCCAGCTTGTCCACCAAATCATTCAGTCTGGAAATATTGCCATTATGAGCACTAGGATGACACAAACAGGAAATGTGTGGTTAATGTTGTGGACATGCTTATGTCAGTGTGTACCGCTGTGTATAATTTATGAGTGCTACTTTCTGAAAGATCGTCTAATGGCTCAAAGGCCTAGTTGCTAATTGTTCATCATTAAATGAGTTTAATTGAGATACTTTAATTACCCAGACATTACCAGCCTGAGATATGCATGACACTTAAATGTCTGGAAACATAAACTTCAATGTGACAATGAAAGAGGCATGTATTTCAGTATAATTCTTTAGTTGATATTCACACCACACATTTATTTTGTCACTACGCAGGATGTGTTCGCCTACAAGGAGGTGGGAGTTCCAGTGTGTCGGATCTTCACTGTCAACCCCAAGGGAGAGCTGATCCAGGAGCAGACCAAGGGAAACAAGTCCTCGTAAGTACAAGGGAGGGTCCTGGTGACTCATTTTGCCTTGGAATCACATATTCACAAACGATTGTATAGTCATTATTTGACAACTCCCAGAGTGAGCCCACTTTTCAGTTTGTTTGAAAATGACTACACAACAAAACAAGCTAACGCAAAATAGAGCAAATCGACTTTGTAATGAAGACATGGGGTGTCTCTCCATTCATAAGAAAACAAACACAGAAGGAGACATGTACAGGTGTTTACAAGTTCAGTAAACCAGTTTAAAGGATGGGCACTAAGGGGAGATGTACTGTAGGGTTTCATTTTAACATTTTATCCATAGTTCCTGAAATGTGTTTTACAGAAGCCTCAAAGAAAATGTGATTTCTTACATTATATAACTGCCATGAATAACATCGTACCAATCTTCTGTTGATGGAGTAACTGGCTTGAGTCATTTATTACTTACTGCCTTCCTGTTAGCAAAGGCCAGTATCCCAATTAAGTATTTGGTTTTGTTATTTGTAGGCGATTTTTGAACAGGTGTAATTTAGTATTTAATAAGACTCTTCCAGCCGGATGATCTCCTTGAGGTCGACTCAAGCTCGTTATCTTCCAAAGTATTTTTCCCAAGCTTCGAGATGTTTATATTAGTTTCCTTTCCTCATTTTTGTTTTATAGAGGTGGTGGTTTCTATGTTCACCCTCTGAGATTATTGTTTTTATTTTTTTTTATTTCTATAGGCACTTTTGGCCAAAATGTAGGTAAAGATCTTATGATCCTGATCCAGCACACTTACTGGACAGTAACTTCCACAGTCAAGTTCATCCTTACCCCTCTTTTGGTATCGTGAGAGATCACCGCCTCTCGACAGAAGGGGGGAATTATTCCAGTCAGGAGCACGTGGTTATATGTGGTCTTGATTGTAGGGATCAGTAGCTCTTTCATTTCTTTATACCACTGCTGCCTTATTGGGTTTTAAGTGTGATATTGCTTTTTTAATTTCTTCAAATTTCACTAAGCAGGAGCTTATGTCAATCTCCTCTCACTCTAGGGAGATTTATTAGATCACAAAGGGCTTTCATTTCTGTTTCATCTATTTTTGGCTGTGTATATACGTTTTGTAGAAACTTTTAAATGACCCATGTATGTCTTTCTATTAGCAGTGAATGGAGTTTGTTTCAGGGTTATTTGTTTTATAAATTGTTTTTTGCTAGTTGCTTTTTCATTTTGTAAGCCAGTAGCTTCCCTGATTGTCCTCCTGCCTCGTAATGTCTTTGTCAAAGAAAGATTCTAAGAAAGAGCTGCTTTCTTTTCGTTTAATTTGAGTAGATTTCATTCATCTTTTTCTTGTCTAATACCATGTAATTATTTGATTAAATGTTGTTTTGTGTGCAATGTTCAGGTTTTTCAAATTAGTTTGTAAGTGACCCACTTTGTTTAAACTTTTTTTCAGATAAAAAAAGTAACCTATCATTTTCCCTCTCAGAACAGCTTTAAATAAAATAGAAAATGACAAACTGTCAAAGGAAACAGAGAACATTGGGGGGTGTGACCTGATCCAAACAGAGCATCCAACAGTATTCAGAGTTGCTGTTGGATCTCACATATAGCTGTAGGAGGATCTCAATCATTTGGTGTTTTTGTACAATAGCAGTTTAGAATGAGGGTGGTTTTTAGAGCAGCCCCCTTTAACTTTAAAGAGCAGCAGGAAACTCGGCACTAATCATCATCAAAGTTCATCCAAACTCTGCAGTCTATGCACATTTTTGGAGCTATTTTTGCGGCTTTCAGCTCGTTGTTTTGGTTTCACAGCCCTTCATGTTTGTTTTGGTTCTTTCATATCATTCTTATCAACCTTGTTTAAGCAGCGGCAAGCATAAAATCTAAACAACTCTGTACACTACCTGTCCACTTTCTCAGGTGGAGAACAAAACAGAGCTAAAAGGAGAGTAATTACTTTATATAGTAAGATATGAAAGTGCTCTGTATAGCTTGTTTTGCTGCCCTCAATCAGCCAAAATCCATCAAACTGCATTTTATTTCTATGTTTTCCTTCTTTTTTTTTGCCATTTGACTAAAATAATTGGGGTTATTTTAAGATCTGTCCATATCACTCACTACTCTTTTGACCTTGGTTTTTTTTTTCTCCCTCCACAGTTACGGCAGGCTGAGCGAGCTGGTGGAACACGTGTTCCCTCTGTTGAGTAAAGAGCAGAACGAAGCCTTTCTCATGCCAGAGTACAGCTCATTCTGTTACTGGAGACAGCCAATACCAGTCATCAACCCTGATGATCTCCTCTGATCCAGCTCATATGGATACCCAGGTATTCATATCGCTGCAATTGGACTGTGCACTTGAATGCATCTTTGGGAACTACATGAACTCCCCTCTCTAGTTCTCAGACACATACATGTACAAAAGTCTATAATGACTTTGACACAGTAACAGGGTTATGACTATAAACACAAAACAGCCTCTAAACTGTAATAACTTATTAGAGACGAGTGGTAGTGATCTCTAGAGTCGTAAATCCTGGTGAATAATCTCTCAAAATGTTCATCCTTGGACGACCTTAACACCAAATAAATAATCACCATTCCTCATGCCCGTGAAGGCATCGAAACCCAGTGAGCACTCTTTAGCCCCCTTCACAGAACAGGGATTTAGATCGGAGACTTTACTTTCTATCTCTCTGTACCTTCTAGCCAACAGGGTGGTCTGTATTTGCCATTAGGGAAGTGACTGAAGCCCCATACTAGGTATGAGCCTCGAGCACTAGAGACGGAGCTGCAGCAGGGAGATACATTATTTTCTTTAATTTTGTTTTTCAACTCCTATAATTGCCCTGAAGAATTGCAATTTAAATTTTAAAGCTAAATACAAACACTGTTAATTAAAACGGGACAGGCAAAATGAACACTGACAGACGATGACACCACAGTGTTTGTTCCAGCATTATTTAGCAGTGGCTGCAATGTTTGCCTAGATGGAGGAGATCCATGGTTCATTTGGAGGCTTTTTTTTCTGTTCTAAAGCATCAAGTTAAAATGGTAATGTAGACTGCTAAAATGCTACACTCCTCCCTACATTGAAATGTACAGAAACGCCTACAGTACCTACAGAAACATGCTGTAGAACAGGTGGGAATACTGCCGAAGGTGTTAAGTTTTTGTTTCTGACTGTCCACTCTGGACCGACGGTGCTCATTAGCTGCTGTCGGCAGAACAGAATTCAGATCATCACTTTTTCCCCTCGGAGAGTTTTTGATGTTCGTACTGAATGAGTCATGTTCAGTATTGTTAATATTTAAGGTCATACCAGGGATAAACTTTTGCCAACAAGTATGTGAAGATCCACACTTCTGATGTGACTCAAAAACAAAATGAAGCCGCTTCATGGTATGTTGTCTTACTGTTATTTTAGTATGTTTGTTCTGTTATACAAGCTCTGGCGAATCAAGTATGTTTTGTTAACAATGCAGTCATTATTTATGATAATTGATATGTTTAAGTTATTTGATTTCTATCGTGATGCCTTTGCTCGTCTGAAAAACTAATTTATCACCGATGCAATGTTGAAATACTTCAAATTGGTATTTATGTGACTGGACGAAGCACTTAACCGTAACTAATAGGCCTTGTACGATCTTTTTTTTTTCAAATCTTGTATCCCATTTTCACAACGACCTGTATTCATTTGTTTTGCAGTGAATCTTTCAACATGTAAGGTACACTCACATTCCTTAGGACGGCATAGCAAAGTCTCAGCTTGAGGATTAAAAGACTTGTGTAAATGTAAATTATGTTGCTTGAGTTGAACAGTTGAAAGAAGCAGATTTGAACAGATAACAATGAAGGATGTTAGCTTGCGAGGACTTCTTTAATGGGACTTTTTGAGTGATTTAACTGTGTGTTAAACGTGTGTGTGCATAATCGCTGAGTGCTGCTGTTTGGGGTGACAGCATCACTCAACCTTTGCTTACGTTCCCTCAGTGGCTTTATCGAGACTTTTTCCAACGCACTTTTGTTCAAGCTGCACCCAGAGACACAGCTCAGAGCGCCTCTCACCCACATGCACTTCACCAAAGGTCTTCATAGATTACAGACCTAAGTATGCAATTAAAGCAGGATGGAGGGTTCTCGATTTACCTCTTTGTTGTGCGAGTGTCACCTCGGAGAGAAATACTTTGAATTATGTTGATAAAAGCAATTATTGAAAATGGGTTTGTACTTGTAGTTTGCAAGGAAAAATTTGAGGATTAAAAACAAAATTATGTTTGTATTGGGTGCTAACAGAGTTAACCCTTAGCCTCTGTGTGTATATGAGTTTTTGTGTGTGTGTGTGTGTGTGTGTGTGTGTGTGTGTGTGTGTGTGTGTGTGTGTGTGTGTGTGTGTGTGTGTGTGTGTGTGTGTGTGTGTGTGTGTGTGTGTGTGTGTGTGTGTGTGTGTGTGTGTGTGTGTGTGTGTGTGTGTGTGTGTGAGAGTGTGTGAGAGTGTGTGTGTGTTTGTGTGTGTGTGTGTGCGAGAGAGAGAGAGAGAGAGAGAGAGAGAGAGAGAGAGATAAAAGACTGATCCCAAGCCTCTGATGAAAGGAGGAAGAGCCAAATAGGTTTTGTTTGGGGATAAACAGGAAATACTTGACTGTAAACAGAAAGCTTTTTGAAGCGCTTCAGTGGCATTATTTGTGTGTGTTATAGGAAGAGACTTGAGGGCAGATGTGCCACTCCACTGACATGGATCATACCTCGTGCACATGTGTAACAGCAGCATGCTTATTTATGCTTGTGAGGATTAAAAAAAACAACAGAAAAGAGTATGAGCAGGACTTACACGGACAAAAACAGTTCATGACTAAAAAGCACAATTTACAACAGCGGCTAGTTCTGGATTAGTCTCTATTAATCGTCTTTTTCTTTTTTTTTTTACACTCTGTAGTCCAGATGTTTCCATGATTGTTAAGATGTGTGTTCTGCTTTGATTGGTTTGCTTGTTCTCTATACAGTTTGGTGAAGTCAAATAGATATATCTTATGATTTAACAAAAAGGAATTCCATTCTTTCTATGAAAGTAAAATCATCTCGTGTGGAAGACTCACACTTCATCCCCTTTGACCCCCGGGATACATGGTATGTAATATTGTTTGTTCTCACTCGACCGCTGTGGAAAATGATCCAGTATAAAACGCTGATCATCACTCTTCTTCTGTTTCCGATGCCTTTCGTTTTATTATTTCTTATAAAGTGTATGATCTTTTGTGGAACTCTGTGTGTGTTGTTTCTTTCTGTTTGGAGGCAGTGCTTGCTATTTGATTGTGTCTGACCAACAGAAATACCTTAAGTGTATGCTGTGTTTGATTTGTATAGAAATGTGGTTTAAAAGTATGTTTAAAAGAACAAAATACATTGTAAGAAGAAGAAAATATTGGCCCTCAATGAAGCTGACAAAGTGTGGCTTGTGGTCATATTTGTATTAAATAAAGTTTCTAACTGAATACGTTTGTGTGTGTTTTTCTTGTCTCCAGTCAGAGTCAAAAAGTTCAAGCGTAACCACAGGCTTGACGTTTACCCTGTTGCTGATATTTTTTTTTAGAGCAACAATACATGAAGGAGGTTATTGTAGTTTAAATCCAAAAATCCTGTTTGTTTTACTGAATAACACAAACATTAAATATTTATAAAAGCTGTAACTCACTCTGAGGCTGAATAGAAATCTGTATTTTTCTCCTTCTTTAAAGGCGGGACCTACGGCTAAATTCCCTGCTGCTGCTTCTTAGTGCTGTTGGGATATTTTCTCAGTCTCCGTAGTGAGGAAAGGGGAAATGTATTTTTTGTCCACACCCACTTTACGTAATGACTCCAGTGGGATTTTGCCTTCTAACATTACTTTCTATGACCATTCTCCACAGCCAGCAGAGTTTGTAGCATGAATAAAAGCTTGTTGTGTTGCTTAACATGATGTTTTTCCACATTAGTTTATTATGAATCATTCTTTCCTTGTCCAGCGTCGATTACACAACAAGAAGGAGTGAGCTCTTACTGTAACAGGTGATCCATCATGGCTACTTTCAGAACAAACAGTATGTTCTCTTGTGTTCAGATTCTGTAAATGTAATCTCTGAGACGGTTCTGTTCAAGTCAACATCACACTTTATGAATTTTAATGTTAATTTATAAACACTTGTATATACAAGACATTCACAATAGGTACAAAAAGGCAACTGGAAATCAAATATATTAGAAACAAGTTCTGCTTCTTGTATTCAGGTTAATTTAGGACATGGCTTAAAAATTGCACTATAATGACTTTAAGTTGAATTCAGAACACGGTGGCCCTGCGTGGTGAATTAGCTGCATTACTGCAGTGACCAGTGATATTTCCCTCCTGTCCTTCTTTTGCGATCAAACTAGTCCTTTCTCTTCTGGTGCGCGGCTGAGCTCCAGCTATCTTTTGGCCTGTGGTGTATACAGGAAGATGGCACTGAAGGTGGAGAGGATCTCCCTGGCCTCGCTGGTGTCCAGCTGACCTCTGGTCCTCACCAGGCTCACGTGGTCTCCTTTCCTCAGGGGCAGGATCAGACTGAAGGACACAGAGCCCCCGCAGTTACCAGCAGCTGAGCGCCCGTGTTGACCGGCCACTGGCACCGCCGCACTCTGCAGCCTCTGGACGCTGCGGTTAGACACGGACAGGACCGCTTGCACTTGGTTGCCCTGCTTTGCTGTCAGCAGTCCTGAGATCATGTATCGGCCATCTAGAGGTACAGTGAAGATCCCTGTAGAGAGGAGAAAAGAATTGAGAAAATCAATGATGATTGATGAATAATGTCACATCGTCATAGCCTTCCCTCAGAATTATTTTGTAAAAGATTCAGTTCACAGATAAGTCTGAAAACAATCATCAGATACCCACATGAACATTAAAACAAGTTTTGTCCGGTGTAATTCATATGCTTATCCAATCCTACATCTTCAAAACATTTAATTCCAACGCTGAGGCTCAGCCAAACAATTTAGTTATAAGTAACATCCTTTTTGGGATGCTGGGATTCTTTAGTTTAACACAATCTTATTAAAGTAATTGCAAGCTGGGCCTTTTTACACAACCAGCACGTTCACAGCAATGCTGGCATTCTTTCAGACAATTTCTATTTCTTAGTCTACCAGGTGAATGCAAATAAGATAGTCACATTCTTTTTGGCTCTGATTTAGAATCCATCAGCTCCTTAAGCATTTTGTTCGCCTGCTTGTAGATTATTTTCAAACTGTTTACACTTGTTTGTTTTCTTTTTAGTTTTGGGGCTTTTTATACCTTTATTTTAGAGATAGGGCAGTGGATAGAGTCAGAAATCGGGAGAGAGATAGTGGGGAATGACATGCAGGTCATGGTTTTGAAGTAGAAAGTTGAGACACATCCATGTGTACATAACTGTCTACTCTGTGTCTCTAAGGTGCCTTCATCACCTCAGCTGGAGGGTCGAAGGACCCTGATTATATCAGTCTGTAGCTAGCTAAGTAACAAAAACTTTTTAAGAATATTTTTATTGTACTTTATTTTGACACTGCTGACATTGGCAGCTCTGACTCTTCGTGCATTGACAGCCTATTTGCCTAAGATGTGCTTTGTAAGTGATTTGAATTATTGGATTACGATGCATCTTGGCAGCTGTTCACACTTGAATGTTTGATTTGTATGACCGACTTTAAATGAATCAGCAAGTCACTGAGCAGTTTCATGGTAACCTTGAAACTAAATCAATGTTACGTTTTTGTTGTGGTGTACCTGTGTGGGGATTGTAGTGTCCACCGTCGTTGACTAGAACTCTGTTGAAGCGAATAATGCCGAACTCTCCGGAGAACGACTGCTGCGTGAGGCCAGCACAAAAGGAGAAGGGATCTGGAAAGGCGCTGTTGTCGACTGAAACTGGAACAAAACGAAATGGATGTACAGTAAGTCCATTTTTGTCCCCTTATTTCAAAGATACTCTCTGGTGCATTTATATTTAGTAACTGGTAATAAGAGTTACTTCCTCACAAATAGGATAAGGATTAATGTTGTGTTTTTTTTTTTTTTATCAATGGAGGCACTACAATTGAGAAAAATACATTCAAGATGGATTTTACCTGGTGATTCAACCGAAGCTTGATAAATGGGGTTCCATGGCACCTTTGCTGCTACGGGACCTACATGGCACAAAAATAGAGTGTTAATTGTAGTCACAGCTATCTGCTGCAGGGTTGACACTTCTATTTTTATAGACGTTTTTACAAAGTAAGCCTCAAGTTATATATTTATAATGTTTCCACTGAATGTATTAACAAATATGTGTTTGTGGGCTTTTATGAGTCTGTAAATAGCTTAAAAGAAGAAGAAGATCTTCTCAGGAAATATATCAATTACCTACTTCAGTAATGCAGTTTTCTTGATAATCATTAAATGAAACAGGGTAAAACTTTCTGGTAAGTGCCCGCAGATGAGTTTAAATCCACCCACACGTTCTTAAACTAAACACATCCAGTTCCCACTCCCACACACTCCCAGGCTACAAATTATTCACAGCCTTTCCAATTTTTTACACTGGTGTAGTAGGATGGCAGAGCCTGCAGACACATGCGGTGTAACTCGATGATGAACTGCGACAGTACCTTGGCGGCCCGTTGATTGAGGCTTGAAAGACGCAGCCTGTAGGGGAGGATAGCCTGCGAAAGACACAGATGACAAACACATCATGTTTTATCATCATGTGAGGACACAGGGTTAGTGAACACTCCTGCCAGATGCTGCTGTGTTGTTTCACATGTGATCATTATGGCAAAGCACAGTGGGATGATTTCCCAGAGAAAGTAGAAATTTAAAGGCAGCAGGTTATAATCTAGGCGGGGAAATGTTGGGTTTTGAGAGCCTCTTTTTCAGTTTGATTCTGATTTAGCTGTACCAGGACACTGGCATGTACAGTATGAGCAGAATCAGGTTTGTAAAGTCTCCCCTAAGCTTTTTAAATTGGATTTAAACCTGCAGATATCTCTGTTGGCTTAGCTTAGAATTCAACGAATGAGCGCATAACAGATAAAATACTCAACAAAGTGAAAAAATTACGAGGTAACTTCCACTTTAATGCTAATGTCCTAATAACAAATAAGAAATATTAGACTCCATACTATAGCTATCATTATTGCATGGATTTTAATATTTAAAAAGTGTTTATTCCCAGGCTAAGATTCTTGACGAAAATGGATTTAATAGAAATGTAAGAACTGTGCTAAAACGGACAGTTTCCCGACAGTCACTGTTTTGTTTTCAGATTTGTTTTCCTAACAGGATTACATGCATGCCGGTTAATTCACCCCATATCTTGTTCTCTCTTTCGTTCTCCATAAAAACCCTTTCAAGCTCAGCATTCCTTTGTGCATATGACATCAAAACTAAAGTGCATGGCTAATTCCACCTTTCGTTATTGGTTCCATGTGCGACAAATTCTGAACAGAACAAAACAGATCCTGAATCTGAACTACATGAGTATATCTTATGTAATGAACTGACAGCACTGTTTAAAAGATGACAAACATAAATTATGTCACATATGTGGTAATGCTGGCTCAGCCCCGATCTCCATGGTGCCAGACTTATGACGCTGTGTGGTTAAATTTTCCCTTGTTGTCATTGTGCTGATGACCGATGATGACAGGCTGTAGTTCCAGGATTTATTTAGGCACTTAACAAGAAGAGCATACATCAGAATCTGTGGTAAAAATCTGTATTACAGTCTGTGAGTTACAGTAAAATTATTTAATATGGGCTCTTTAAAATACTTTTTGGATACCAAGACAAACACTAAGAACAGAGGAAGAAAACAAGTGTTTGGAAATGAGGTGGTAATAACAAAGTGTTTAAGAGGTACTTAAGTATTTTAGAATCATAAATTATAAGGCACTGTAACTTCATCATAAGACTAGTGGATAAAAACATAGAGGATAATTGTATTAGAATTACAGTATAAACACATAAATTATAACGTTTTTGAGTACTGAATGCAATTAATTCTTTAATATAATCTAGATCATTGTTGCTGCTAGGGTAGAAAATATTAAACCAAGCATGGATAGAAGAGTGCCCCTCTGTAGTTCTGTTTATGTTCTGTGTGTGTTTTGTCATATCAGATTGCATGTTACAGAGCAGAAATACCGTCAAGAACCAAACAAACTTTAATGCGGCTCATTCAACAACAGACAGTCAAAAGAACAGTGCTGCAAGTCTTCTCCTTGCATGTGTGCGCACATCAACAGTTTATATTTTCTATTACTATTCCCTATACTTCTGCCCTTGTAAAAATGAGCTTTGTCAATTAAATCCATTTAGTCTCTAATGGAATAAAAACAGGAGTCTGGTGAGTTTTGTTTTAACACAGATAAGGATCTAACAGATTTATATGTTTCTATGTGTTAAAAAAAGGGTCCCTGTAAGCTGTACTCACCTGGTGCGCCAGCAAATCCTTTGACCGGCATGCTCAACGAGTCCTCAGACCCTCTGCGCACAGTCACCCTGCGCATGTACCCTGGAGGTCCGGCCTCGCCTGTCTCCACCACTGGCCTGACAGGAACCAGAGGGAGGGTGGGGTGGCCTGGCTGCTGGGGGCTGGACGGCTGGCCTGGCTGACTGGTCCTGATCGTGTGCGTGTTGGTCTGCACTCGTTGGCCCGGTCTGTGCGGCTGTCTGGACTGTGTCGGTGGAGGGATGATTAGAGGGATGTGAATTTCTTGGATTCTGGGTCTGGTCTGAGTTGGATCTGGCAAAGACGCAGGCCTCTCTGGTCTTAAGGTCATTCCTTAGGAAAAGGAGAGAAAAAGACAAGTATTGGCAAGATTTTAAACATATCAATCTAAGTTAACTTTCTCAATATTGATGAAATTAACCATTGAGCATACAAACTTCTGGTCAAAATGAGTCTCTCCAATTGAAAGTTGAGACAAATGCTGTCAAACTATCTTCTATTTACTTGTTTGTCTTCGCTCACATGCTGAACATATCCTTTCTCTCTCTTGTAAATTCTCCTTTTGTGATTTTTATTCTGATTACAGGCAAAATTTGGACTAGATTTCACTGCACCTTGGAGCGGTACCACTATGAGTCTTCATAAAAAAAGTAAAGCAGACGGGCAGTGTGAGTTTTAGGCAACAAGAATCAGTTGGATCATGCATCACCTGGGCCTCTGAGATTAGAGTAGACACACTGTTAGAGTGTCCTCAAGACAAATAATATAAGTAATTACAGTACCTGCTTTGTGTCAGCCCCATCTCAGTGTATCTCACTGATTGTGTTGTGTCACATATACGTTTCAGAGAATGGGTTTGTTAATTATCAAAAGAAAGCCCTTCTTTGTTTGATACATCATCACTTAAACTCTTTCAAACCTTGTGTTAGGCATAAATGGACTAGATATAACAGGATTACAGTAATGTTATTCTAATGTTATGTTAGTCTCTTACATAAAGGGAATGACCACTTATCCTAAAATGATTGTACGATCAAATTAGGCGGAAAAGGCTCAGCTTCTTGAGAAAGCTCTCAAAGAACACAAACAACAGATAATCTCCAGGGAGCATAAACACATTATCTTCTTTAAACAGGAGGCTATCTACAGATTGAATTTGTTCACTGGCAGATGATAAGCTGTCATCACAAGTTAAAGCATGAGCATGCCAGATACCTGATTAATTTACTAAGAAAATACTCTCGAAGAAATGCTCCAGTTTACCATTAGAATGACTCAGGTGTAACTTGTCTGCAGCCATCTTCCTTAAGGCTGAATTCAGACTGGGCATAGCTTTGTGCTTAATGCTAACATTAGCATGGTAACCATTTTTGCTATCAAAATACAATGTCTACATAGCCATGTTTGCAATTTTAGTTTTGAATGTTGGTATGCCAGTATTGCTCTAAAAACAGATACTTTTTTTTGCTAAGTACCGACAATAACATGGCCTAGCTATTCATGACATGCCAACAAAGCTAGGATTAGCAGATATGTAGCATGTTTACTGTTAAAGGTAATGTTAGCATGTTATGCTAGTATTGCTTTTTAGCAATAAAAACACAAATTATTAGCTAAGTAGGCTACCAACATTTACATGGCTTAGCGTTTCATGAAAATGTCAATTTGGCTAGGCTTAGCAGATATGTATCATGTTTACTGTTAAAGTTAATGTTAGCATGCTAACATTTCTATTTAGCATGGAAAAAGTAAAGCTAAGTTTTCTTTCGATGTACATGTTTCTGTACCGTTTGTGTGTTGTGTGAAACTGGCACAAACAAGAGAAAGGACAGGGAAGACGCAACTAACGGCTGCAGATGAGGTTATGCTAGTAATTAGTAATTAGCAGGTGTAATGTACCCAGGTCAGAAGAGGTATAGCTAGCTGACAATAATTTTTATTCAAAATAGTCAGAAATTGGCTTTGAAGTATTTAACGAGGGAAACAATGTTAACACCTGTGTTGGCTCTCCAGGGTAATGCTTCACACACTGTAGTGATCACACTTAACAAAACACAACAGTATTTTGTAATCTCTAAAGGTTCTTTACAAAAGTCAATCTTTATCAAGGTCCATTTGTTTCTCACTCCCTTAATGTATCGAAATGAATGTTTAACTTCTTATAATTAAAAAAATACTTCTGCAGCAGATAAACAAAGTTATGATAAATCAAAGTTATGCTGTACTCTGCTGCACATATACTGTTGTAATGAGGCAAAAAGATCAATCACTAAACACCTGACAGTAGGCTAGTTGTATTGCTTTAGAGACCGTCTGTTGCTCTGGATTATGACGATAATCAACCACTTAGGTTTTATCAAATATAACATCATTAACAAACAACAAAATTCTTCCACAAGCGACTCAGAAACCACATGTATAATTAAAAACAAATTAAACCCAGCAATCATGTTGTACTGAGATAATCAGAAATCTTTCATTCATTTCCTCCCTGTGCCTCCTTCAGGACACCGGGTGCCTGAGTGCATATTTCCCATGAGCTCTCAGCCTGTGTCTCACTAAGGGGGCAACCGCAAAGTCAGTAAAAGACACACACACACACACATACACACATGCACAAGCTATCTGGTGCAACCATGTGCATCACCAAAAACAGATGTTATTTGTTAAAAAAATGGATTGAGACACTGCAGAGGGAGGTCTTGCTCTGGTTCCAGTTGCGGGTGAGAGTGCGTGAGTGTTCAAAAGCGTCTGAAACCATAGAGGAATATTGCAGCAGACAAGCCGATCATGCGATGGAAAATGGTGTCAAGGGGCACAGAGCAGGGTGTGGTGATTGCACGCATGTACACTAATGCATCACTGACACGTCTTAGATACTTCTTCTTTCACATGCACATGGACACATTTTCTTCCACCTTCCATTTTCCCTGCAATGATATTAATGACAGGAGTTTCGGGTTATGCACTGCATGGCAGACCTCGGGGACTCATTGTGTATCTGGGTCCATTCTCCTCTGAACACTTCCAGATGGGTCAGAGATGGAAACACCTCACCTCCCAGCTGATGCAATTGGAGCTCCCCCTTTAAATTCTGGTACTGACTAAATATATACAGTGTGGGTTAGTGGCAGTATCAGGTATAACTTTCAATTATTTCCCCACAGACACCCTTTGACTTCAAAAAGCCTTTGAAAGCTTGTTTTTCTCGTATTCCCTCATCACGCTCGACAGTTAATCTTCCTGCCTGTCTCCCCAATATAGACTCCAAATGATCAATTGAAAAGCATTGATCCATGAAATCAAAGCCTTTACTTTATCTGGTGCTTTAATACAACTCCCTTTTTTCTGAAGGCCTTGTCTGTCGATTGACTTTTACAGGACAGGGCGGAGGAAGAGGAGAAAAAGAAGTCCTCTGGCATTCTTGGAAGGACAAATCAGATTTGGACAGAAGGAGAGAGCGTCAAGGGAGTAAAGAGAGAGCAGTTTGTAGATAAGAGACACTGGGAGGAAAAAGACAGGGAAGTGATTTGAGATGGACTGGGATCACCTCCAAAAAACAGGAGGCGTAGAAAAAAAAACAGCTTGAGAATCAAATGAAAAAAATCCAACACAAGAAGGTTGATTAGTCATCGTCAGAGTGAGGAACGGCATGCTCATGTTCCATGAAAACAAGTACTTTCTTTTTTTCTTTTTTCTTTTTACATTTCCTAATGAACTATTTATCAGTTTGCACCCCTTATGACGTTCGAGCCTCTTGCAGAATTTCAAAATAACTTTTAAACATTACTGCCCAACCACAACTCCCTATTGGAAAGGAAACAGCCAGAAACACACAAGCTTTAGTGGTAGACCTCTACTGCTGCCGCTGCTGTGGGCAAAGCAGTGCAAAAATGTTGCAACTTAAGTCTCACAATTTCATTCAGCAGTCACACTGAGTAAGGGTTAAGTCATTCCAGTTAATCTTTCAGTTATGTTATTACAACACCTCATCTGTTTGCAGTGTCCTCGGGGTCTTCATATGACTGAGTGGAGAGCATGAGCTCAAACACAGAAGGAAATGTTTCAGTACAATCTCCACTAACAACACCACACCCACAGATTTGGGAATTTTTGTAGATTTAAAAAAAATTCTACAAGGACAATTTCTTTCTGTCCAAGATTTGAAGAAAACTTTAAATCTTTATGCTACAGTCCAACTCCCTCATCTTGTGGGATTTTGAACACAGACAGCACAGCGAATGAGTACCACATTATCCCTGAAATAAATGGGAAAACATTTGGGGAAATACACATTCTCACTTTGTTTTTGCAAGGATTTAGAAGTTAAGATTAAATCCACAATCCTGTCTTTATAGTAGCCTAAATATGACCCTACCTCCAGCAGCCTGCTAACTTAGAAGGCTCAAATCAGGAGAAAAAAAAGCTAGCCTAGCTTTTCTAAAAGGGTAGCCAAATCTTCCTTAAAGCTGTCTTAAGCTCACTCATTATTAAGGTGTATTTTGTTTGTTAAATCTGAAAAATAATCAACAAAATAAAAGTGTAAGTTTTTGTCTATATTGTTTCTCATAAGGCTAGTTGCTTCCCAAAGTTTTCCGGCCTTAGCGATGGTAAGTTAGCCGGCTGCTGCTGTTAGCTTCATACTCAACCTATGTACATGTGAGAGGTATTGCTATTCTCATCTAACTCCAAGCAAAAAAGCAAATACATAAGTATAGTTTTTGTTTTTTTCAAACCTTTGCCTTTAAGTTCTCACTAACATAAATCTCAAAGCTAAAGCGTGGGATTCTTATGAAGACCTACAAAAACTGTAATTTGGAGAAGCCTATACTTTTTTTTATGAAGATTTTTGATGTTATGCATAATTCTGATAAGACTATGGCTAGAAAAACCTTTGCAACTGTTGTACACACAACAAAAAGAAAGCTATGTACTTGCTCTATACTGAGAACTAGCAAACTGTTAAAGTTGATGCTGCAAAGCTAACAGGCAGGGATGACTCTTGTTGAGACAATCAAACAATGCTCCAATTGGAGCTACTCATGAACACCTTGCTTCTATGGCAAACATCAGAAAAACAGCAAATATTATAAAGCTAGATAGTAAGCAGAATGTCATTGGTAACAATTGTGAGGCCCGCTGGACTTTGGCAGACAGCTAGCAAATAGGCTAATGAGGAGATATTTGCTAATGAAGTGTATTGGATTAGAATTCCTTACATCTAATAGTAAAAGCCATAATAAACATACTTCATAATCCTGCCGTCACACACAAAGCCCTATCTGATTTAATATTGGACAAAGCTTCATCTGATTTAATACTGGGCAGAGTTTCTGTCTGATTTAATGCTGAGTAATGTTACATTTGAGGCACTGATATCAGATTTCTGAGTTTGGAAATAACAAATCATATTTGGCAAAAAGTGAAATGGAAACATAATGCCTTAATGTATTCATCTCTCACAACCACAACCATTAATCTATCCACCCTCCTTTCTCTTCAGGTCCCTATCAAACCATTGTTTTGGATGATTGTTTAACAGAGGCAGGCACCAGTGATGGGGCCCCCTATCATGACATCACAGCTGAGGGTAGTCGAAGCATCTGGTAATGGGTGTGGAGCCATGCTTCTCCCCTCTCCACCAAGACTGGCTCCAGCAGTGAGTCAGGGCCCTTAATGAGGACCAGACTCCACACATCAGGCTTAGGTCACCCTATGGGAATCTCTAGAGGTTGGTATGCGTAAGGAGAAAGAGAGGAGGTGGAGGTGTATTGTACATGAGCTTGTGTGTTTGAGGACTAACAGGCCAGGAGAGTGAGGTTTGGAGTTCTGTGGTACGCATACAAAAAGGAGATGTCATAGTGCAAGAAAGTAGACCTCACAACTCAACTTGTTCATGAAAGGGAGTTGGGGAGATGGAACAGTCTACCCGGGTGCTCTGACATTTACAAAAGGGAGCAATGAGGCATAAAACAGTGAGAGTAAATCAATAGAGACATAAGGAGGGGCTGAGCCAGGCAATTATATTTACCTATCCCATTCCTTATATAAAAACTGGGGAATTCTTAGGACAACATGAATCTAAGTCACAGGAAGTTTCCAATGTGGGCCTCAGGACATATTGAATGACATATTCAAGGCAGGCACGAGAGGCCCAGTGAACTTGTGTCCTCCCACTCCGGGAAATACCCTGCAGTCATTCATGGGATATGATCCTTCAAACCGAGCCTCCGTGTAAACCAAGCAGGCAGAATGCATTATTGGGGATTATCTGCAGGAAATGTTTGTGTTTACACAGATGGCAATCACACTCAATTAACTTGTATGTTGGAATTTCAAAAAGGAAGCTGCAAAGATGTTTTAGTCAGTATTTTTTCTATTAAACATCTTTTGGCTAATTTTTGTGGCTTTATGTACAAATTAAACAAAAGTGAACAGACTCCTTTCTTTTTCTGACTGTGCTGATATGGGAATCTGTGAACTTTTAACAAGTACAATTATTACTGTCATATGGTTAATCTATTATGAGCTATATTTAGGTATGGCTAACAAGTTTGACACTGTGCGAAATATCCTTATTTCCTTAATCTCTGACAGTTTCATAAAAGTGAATGCAAAGCGACTGCCAGCACATGGTGAGTTTAGCAAGTATTAAGACTTGAAAGGATGGACAATCAACTAGCCTGTCCCTCTTCAAAGGTACATAAAAAGTTCTGGCACGACCTTTAATTCTTTTATGCTTTTACAAATGTAATTCTTGTACAGATTAAATAAAAAACAAACAGACTGAGATATAACGCTTTAACGAGTAATTTGCTGGTTCCTTTCCCTTTTTGCTGTCTTAATACTAAGATAAACTGATTGCTTGTTTGCCTCATATTAAATGAACAGTGTGTTGTAAGAATTCTTATTAAAGTCTTCACAAGAACGTGTATAAAAAAAGCCCTAGATGTCCACCTACAGCAAATGTCATTAAAACCTAAAAATAAATCCTTAACTCACCTGGCTCTTTGGCGGTGACATCTTTCAAAACATGTTTGGCCATCGCAGACAGCTGTCCCTGGAGCTTCTGCATGGAATTCTGCAGTGTGATGATGTCTGTACCACAGGTAGTATTCATCCTGTTCACACAGTCCTTCAGACCAACAACTTGTCTTTCCAGCCTATCTTTCAGCTCTTTGATATTGTCAGAAACCCCATCTAGCTTTCCACACACCTTTTCAAGTCTGGTCACACGTCCGTCCACAGCGAAAATGTCATCAGAAACACCCTGTGTGTTCTGTTTACATTGTCTAAGTTCAGAAAACACCTGTCTAGTGAGCGTATCAAGCCTGTTCCTTAGCTCATCAACCTGACGCGTGGTGTCATCCGTCTGGATACTGGGTACAGCTATGACTGATGACCAGTTTTTTTGTGCTGGACTTCCAGGGCCTCTTTGTTCTGCATGGCAGCAAGTTGAGTTAATTTTCTGCATATCCTGGTTGTATTTGCTTACAGAGTCACCTAAACCAGTAACAACACCAGCCAGTCCAAGCACTTTGTCTTGGAGATTAATCAATCCCTTCTGGAAGTCATCCATCATCTTGGCACTTCTGTCATTTGCGACTGACTGCCTTCCAAAAAGGTCTTCCATTTGCCTCAGCTTGTTTTTGTTGGCACTGACATTTGTGTGAAGAACATCCAAGTTATTCCTATACCGACTCAGATCCTTCAAAATGTGTAATAAACTGTTGGGTGCAGGTGATGGACTTTCTGAATCTAAAGAAAATCCTGAGCCTGAACATCCAGTAGAGCACAACTCGGCCACAGCATTGACCTTGTCATCCAAACCTGTCAGGACGAACTTATTGTTGTTGACTTGTGTCTGAATGGCATCCATGGATTCACTAAACATGCCTGGGAAGGAGTTGTTGCTTATTTCCACCAGCATGTTCGTAAACTGGTCCTCCATGCTGTTCAGACGCTCATCAAGAAGCAGTCGTAGTGCTGCCACTTCGTCAGCAATCAAACGTGTCAGCTTGTCTTCAATATAGAAACAGTGGATTTCTGCATTTTGCTCTGTGATATTAAGGCGGGCCTCAAGCTCTTCAATCATCGGGCCAAAATCATCGTTGTCCTGAGGGGCAGACAGGTGCGCCAGCTCATTGTCAATGCGGACGTTCAGGATCCGGTGAGCTTCTGCAATTCGGTCAATCTCTCGCCACAGGTCACTATGGTCATTACCACGCTCCTCTTCCACTTTGGTTGGATCGGTCTGCCTTTGGGTTCTTATTGGTCCATCTGCTGCAGCCATGTCCAAATGTAGTGCTCGGATCTCTTTTCTCAGATCAGCCTCCTTTGAATCCACCAGTTTGGTAAGTCTGACCAAACCTTGGTCACAGCTGCCTTCACAGGTTTTCTGTAAGGCCAGGATCTTGTCATTATATGAGCTTTGTAGCTTAGCCAGCTGTTCTTCAATGTTCAGGTCAAGCTCCTTCTTCAGCTTTTCAAACTTCCCATCAATGTAGTTCTGTACAATATCAACATCCCCTATAGCTGTTGTTTGAGATTGAGAGGCATCCATCAGGACACGAATCTGTCCCTCGTGGCTGGTCATAGTTCCTCTGAGGTCTTCCAAAGCTTCATCTTTGCTCTTCAGTGCATCATTGATATCATCCAGTCTGGCCACTATTTTTTCTATGGCCTTGTCGCCACCAATTCCACCTCTAGTAGCCTGATGACCATCCAGCACAGCCGGGCTCTCCTCTGTGCCTGACGAAGAAGAATTATCAGGTGGACGCATGTTGTTCAGAAGTGTCACCAGCATCTTCTTTGTGTCGTCCTGCAGGTCCGTTTTGAGGTTGGCAGTTAACCCTGTCAAAGCTGACTGAAGATCCAAGACTGTCTGAGACAGGCGCTGAACTTCACCTTCCAGCAGATGCACCTTATCGGTCCCACCAAGCCTGGTCTCATGGTGCCTAGTCTCTCTCCGCTCCGGTCCTTTGATCGGAGAATAAATTGTGAAATGTTTAGTGACAAATACAACTCAGTGATTATCTCTTCTTAAAGTAGAGTGGAATTGAAGTAGCCAACATTATTAGTACAGTTTAACTAAATACAAAAATAGTTGAAAACCAGATATCCAGCACAAATTAAACAACAACAGTAGAGCAAAAAAAAGGCTTCCTTACTCTGTGTGTGTCTAGTTGTGTATCCAGGATTTGGTGGGAGGTAAGGCTGTGTTCCTTGAACTAGTTGTGGTTCTGGGGGTGGTTTTAAATCCTTACAGTTTGGACCTTGGTAACCAGGACAGCATCTCCACTCCAACTCAGTGACAGTCTTGAAGGCAATCTTGTATGTAGGTCGAAACCGATTATGGAATCTGTAACAAGAGATATATTTGTACGTTTTTCAAAAACTGAACTTTTTCTCTGCATCAAACCATTTTTAGGAATTTTTCCAGTTTTAGTTTTCCACAAAGAATAAACTCTTCCAATAATATTCATTTTTATTGGAAACTGTTGAGTCCTGCAATCACCAAACTGACTTATCTTTCTGTTAGTCTCTTGGATATGGTCATTTTTAAGGCTTCTGTACTCTTCCCCTTAACTTGCAAATGTCCATTTTCTAGCCAAGACAAACTATTCCCTAAGAAACAATAGATGACATCACTTCCCCGAAAGAAGGGGTCAGTCATGCAGAGCATCTGGAAATCTGACTGCATAAACAATCATTTTTGCACATGTCCTGACAGTCACTGATAACACTTTATTTTTCCTGACAAAAAGAAGAAAAGAAGCTGAAAATGTGTAGGACAATATATTACTTAAATAATAATACCAATCGACTGTGTGCTTTAGAGTAATTTTACCAAAAAATAACATAAAGCCAGTACTGTATGTCATAACTTAGAAATGTAAGAACCTGATGTGTCTATTCTCATTGCCAGTTCTTCTAGGAAATTTGCTCCTGTGACAAAACAATCATTAGTTTCCAGGGATCTTTTCCACAACACAAAGGCTCTGTGCATGTGTTTTTAGAGTGTGGATCAGAAGGACTGAACATTTGTGAAACAACTAAAACAGAGATCACTTTGTTGGTCTTAAAAGTTTTGAGGACATGATATGATTTATTCAAAGGATGTATTACTTGGACATAATTTAATACTGCATCAAAAAGAGAGAATAGGTTTACCCTTACATTCATATCTTATAATTTACAAAGGAATAACATACTTCCATGTTTCTTGTGGTACATTTTAAATACACTTTGACTCTGGGGAGAAAATTATTTTCAGAATTACTTTGATAACATTTCTTTGGACGTATTTTTCATGAATGCAGTGCTCGCTATTATTGTTGGTACTAAAATGATAAAAGCTACAACAAGGGGTTAGGTCTCATCATTTTGAGGGTCCATGTCTTCTAATGTCAAACCGACAGCTGTGAACTATCTGTGAGTGTATGACAACACATATATGGAGACTTCAGGAGGAGATGAAAACAAATTAGCAACAGGAAACTAAAGCCTTGTTAAAACTACATATTCAGGAAAGAGCCAATGTCTGCCTTTTTTTTTTATTACTTTGGCCTGGGTGTTCAAGATCTTGGAAGATTAGCAGTCTCTTTGAGCTTATTGAGATAGCTTTTGACAAATTTTTTGACCCAATTCTGATCTGGTTCTGAAAGTATCTGTGTCAGGTGAATGCTGATTTGTTAAAAGGCTTGACGTCCTTTAGTCCTGAAACAGCAAGCATGTCAGGAAAACAGATGAATTTCAGACATTAAGTCAAGAAATGTAGGTTTGGATTTGGTTTGTTTTTCATTCAAGGACGGGGTGATATTTAGAGAGTGTCATAATATATCAAGGGAGCTAATTAAATTGAGTGACTCATTGGCATACACTCCAAAAAGCATGTAGGCTATACTTTTCTAAAACAAAAAAGCATGACAGTGCAGGTATGTTGCTTCTTTGAACATGTTCGAATAAGTGGTAGGCCATACTAACATAACAATGTTGTCATGTAGGCACACTGTATTAACCTGGAGGTAGTGCAGGTATGTTTTCCCAAAATACCTTCTCATTATCAGTAATTTATGGAGGCCTGGGGGTCACAGGGTTTTTTCTGCCCAAAAACCTGAGTAGCCTACAGAAACTGTGGGGGGCATTATCCCACTTAAACCACTGTAATTTGCTTTAAAACAAAAATGGGACCATATATACAAGTTTTCAAACATTTCCAATTAAAAATCAGTTTTTAAAGAAGCCACAACTCTTGTTTTTTCCTGGAAACTCCCAAGAGTTTAACTAATAGGCCACTTCTAATAAGGTTCTATATTGCAGAAAAGCTCTGTTCACTCTGTTAAATAGAACAGATTGTAACTATGACTTTTTAACAGGTCTATAGCTCAGCCCCTAAAGCACTTTGGCTCTACCACTAGCCAGAAAGCCAACAGTATGCTAGCAGAATAAAAGTTAAAAGCATTTTGTACAGTTGATGTAATAGATTTTACAGTCATCTGCAGCCTTAATTGGGGGTAAGGGGTTGAGATGTGGGTCAGCAGAATTAGCCCTAGCTGTCCTATTCTCAGGAATTAATTGTCACCCTGCAGCCAATTAGAGTCAAGTATTCACCCAGACCATGGTATAATGGTTCCTGTTGGCTAGCAAGACTAGCTTGTAGCCTGAAAAAGTGTTTTAAAATAAGTAACCTGAGTATTGGCTTAGACCTAAGGGATAGTTCTAGTCCTTCTTAAACTGAGGCTATTTCCTGTTCAACCCTTTGCCTTTTTCAGTGAGATTATTTAATTTTCAAGAGATGCTGCACTTTTGGTTCTGCCAATGGAGTTTCTTCAGCTGCTGGGACTTGCTCTGCCTCCAGCTTTCTCTCTCTCTCTCTCTCTCTCTCTTTGAGAAACATTTTGTATCCGAACTCCAGTCTGTCTCATACATCTAAACATGCACCCTCAACCCCCTTCCCTGAAGCACCCAGGATGCTTACGTCACTTGTTGCTGGCAGTCAGGCTGGTAGGCCGGGCAGGGGGCCATCACGGGCTCCTGGAAGCTCTCCACACTCCCCTGCACGGCGCAGCTCACGTTCCTGCGCACCACATAAGCACACCAGTTCCTGAGGAGAAAAACACACAGAACATAAACACTGAAATAATTAGGCGTACTATGGAAAAAATACTGACTTGTTTCAGCATTTTTTTTTGTATGCTTTGAGTAGGCTAGTAAAAAAAAAAAATCACCATAAAGTCCATAAAGCTTTCCCTGAAAGTTACGCCATTTAAATGAAACGGTCCTAATTTATCCCCTTATCGGTAAACAGTTAGGCTAAAAAGGGGGTCACATGTAGGTTAGACATTTGAGTAATCACTGGCATCCCAGCGTTTATCTGCATCTTATCAGCTTTGGCAACACTCAAGCCAAATTTAGCCCGAGGCAGACACACGTATAGTGATTGAGAACAGGCTACATATAACCATAATAGGCCAAATCCTCTCGACTTGTAGGGCAGAAGAGAAGGACTTGGCGTTATTGAATTTTTATTGGCAAATGCGCAACAAAAGCGCACAACTTCCAGCTTCAGGAAAAGCGGAATGAAAATGCACCGGCGTTGAACTGATTCATACACAAAGTGAGGAGACGTTGAAATCGTTCACCATACCAAGTTTAAAAAAAAAAAAAAAAGTACTCAACTTACCTATTTCTGTGTCTGTGCACCACTCCAGTGTATGCAGACCCTTGGAACAAGTCATAAGAGGAGGGAGACCCGTACGTGAACTGGAAGTTCAAAAACAGTGTGAAAACTATCCACCGCCAGTCCATCTCTGCCTCTCTGCAACTCATACTAAACAAACTCCTTTGAATAAATAGTCCTCGCATAGAAGAAGAGGGCAGCTATTTTTATTATGATGCGCAACGTTCCCCAAAACCAAAGTCACATTGTCCTAGCGACTGATCCAACTCCAATAACCCAAAGTTTGGGGAAGTACACTTGCAGTGCAACTCCCTTGGAATGACGCTCAGGGTCCACACCCTCCTCCCAAACATCAGATGCCGAGAAAACTTCCCCTTTAAAAAAAAAAAGTTTAGAGCCAAAAGGTGCATTGAGGTTGGACATGTTTTCATTTAATTAGGTTGTGCTTTAAGTGTTACAAAGCAAGGACACCAAATAATGAAGGTAACAGACACATTCTGCTGTCTCCAAAAAGGATTTGAGACAACAGTTGATTACTTTGTCTGCCAACAGCCAATACTTCACACTTCACTGATGAGCATAGCATGGATAATGTTGAAAGAGGTTTGTGTAGTGATGGAGGTGATGATATTCATGGCTAGGGATAACAGTAGTCATTTACATTCTGTCTGCCCTGTTGGTGGGTGTCAGGGAATAGACAGAGTGCAGTCTGTTCTGTCCTACAGCAATTTCTATTTCTTTAAGCCAGGCTGAGCAATGTCTTAACATGGTGGGAAAGACAGAAAGTTGCACATTAGTTACTCAACAGCTTTCATTCACAGCACGTGAGGCAGGAATCCATTGTCAGAGCTTTAGCTGTGGAAGTGTGAGAAGGAGGAGGGTTTGCAAGCACAGTTATTCTATTTCTGAGATGGCCTGAAGCAGTTTCCCAAAGTGCAATCATGAGGCCTTTTTTCCTCCTGATCAGACTGAAGCTGTCAGTTAAAAGAGGTGATTAAGTCGGGGGGAAGAAAAACACAGAAGGGAGGGACATGGAAGAGAGACGTAACCAAGTGAGAGTAAGAGCTAAATAAAAACATAGAAACTACGTGTAAGGATTCAGAGAGATGCTGTAAAGACTAATGGGAGGAATAGAGTCTCCCCCCTCCCCCTAAAAAGCTTTCACCGTTGTACATGCGCTATCTTTCCTGACTGTTGTCAGACCAGAGATAGTCATTCCAAAATAAGACTGCACTATTTCATCAGGCCACTGCTCGGCCAAGTGAAAGATGCAGAAATGGGTTATGCAATGGAATGATGTCTGCAGGGATTTTTATTTTTTTTAATTCAGTTAAACTTGATGTGTCATTTGTACCCCACATAATGTCACCCACATTAATATCATTGGCCCTTTCTTTTAATGTTCTTTTTCTTCCCCTTTACTCTTATATTCCCCTTTTATTCAAACCCAAGCAGACCCACGTCATACATCAAGACAGCCTTGAAATCTACTCAGACAGACAAAAGGAGATCGTAATAGCAGTATTGGTGATTTTTTTTTTAATGGCAGTTTGTTTAGTCGCCAGAAGAGGGCAGCACAGCAGCAGTAAAGAAAGCCCAGACTTCTCCTTGTAGTCATGGCAATTCCTTTCCAAAAGTGTTGGAGTGAGTTTTGAAAAGGACATTTCATTAGTGGGGTTAGAGTGAGCGCCCAAATTTCTCCAAACGCATTTCTCGGAACACCTTTCTGTGCTGTGCTGATGTCAATTATTTGTGATATGCAGTCTGAATTCATCATGTCATATCTGCTACTGTACATTTTATTGGAATCATGCTATCTCTCACTCTATATCACCATCATCTGTACTGTATTTTTTTTTTTTTTTTTGCATATGGTTGTAAAAGCAGCAGTGCTTCCACAGTTTTAAATGCAGCCAAATTGAAACCCTTACCTCTTTATTTATACTGAGGTTATTTGTCATCATAACCTCACATATATATGTGCTGCTCAAGTCAAAAACAGTCATTAACTTTATATATGCCTCCAAATTCATGCAGCACGGGAAGTTAGATGAGTCATGAGTAAAGAAAAATACTCAGACTTTTCTTTCAGTCAAAATAAGACACCATGATTCCAGCCATAAATCCAGGGGACATTTCCTCATTTGACCCCTCTCAGATCGATTTCTTATTTTTTCCTCTTTGCAGAAGTTGGAGGACAGATTGGAGCTGGAATAGCCTGCGTTTAGCCAGGGTGGATCCTTTGCAGCATACAATGCATTTGTCATTGAGACATGCATTTTGCAAGGCTACCCCTCACCGAGACTGCTTTTGAATCTTTTAAATTCAATGTGCTCACTCTGAAGTGGTGACCTTGATCTTTAGGTTGACTTATTATAAATGTGCAGACGCCCCTTAGAGGGGTGCGTTCAAGGCTGCTACCACAGGGACACAAAGCAAGTTTTTCTTTTCAAGGACCAGTTTTGCATAGTGCTGCAGAGCCATCACACGACTGGAACAGGTTGCTTCACATCAAGGGAGTCAAAATGAATTCAGCCAGAGCTAACTGTCCATGTAGGTGCATTGTGATACTGAGGGCATTGTGGTTCCATGACAGCAAACATGATCCTGTAAACTTTAACAAGAAACCAAACAACACCCAAGGAGGCGGAGCAGTGCTGCAAATATCGCTTTCATTTGGCAAACAACAGATATGCAGCACCTTTATTAAAATGTGAGAGCTACATTTACACTGTGAGACTCAGTGTAGGTGCTAGGACATGCACGCACTGCCCACACAGGTGCTTTTCAAAGGGGGGTCAAGGGGCTGCCTGAGGCTGCTGCAGTGTGGTCTTTGCTTTAATTTAGAACTTTTCACTGCTTGAACTAACCACAGTAACACAGAGAGTGTTTTGATCACATTTTTATCTTTTTACATTCATTGCAAGAAGTTTTCAAGTTTGGGTGAGTTTGAAAAAATATTCATTCTGAAGTTTGATGCTTTAAAATAGCCAGCAGTTTTGCAACAATTACTGAATTGAATATGCTGTTTTTGAAAAATATAAAAAATCGTCAGATACAAACCATTTGGCATGGGACTATATACGACATTTCAAAGATATGTCATGACTCTTTCTACATAGAATATATAGAACAAGTCTTAACTGTTCTCTTTGTTATATCATCTACAGAGTCCAAAATGAATCCACCAATGAGCAAGCACTTGGCAGAAACATTAAGCAGAGTCCGAGTCATTGGTGCACAGACTTCCGCGTCATCGTCTCGACCGAGAAAGTGTGACAGAGGTAAAGACAGACAGACAAAATACTTTCTAAAGCAAAAATGAAACTATCTCAAACAAGGCTTATTTTCCCAAGCTTCAATAGAATTCCATTCACCAAAATAAACAACCTTTAATTTCCTTGAGTCTTTTTAATTGTGATCAGGTATAAAATCCTACAACATCCCTTCCCTATACTTACATGAACCCCTGCATATGCATTTTATGGCATGGTGAAGAAGTAGAAGACTCCATGGTCTCACTTCATGCTGTTACGCTCACAGAGGTCTTTTGAATATGTGTTAGGTGTAAGGGAACTAGAAATGATAATACCTCAGACATTCGACTCTACCACATTGTCTTCCATCATTATTTCAGATTCACTCCTCTTGTCTCCTCGTATCTCTTCTGTCCCCTCCGGTTCTTTTTGCCTCGTACCTAAAAAGAGACTGACTGTCACTCTGTGATGGTTGTCTGGTCGTAAATAGCTCCCTAATTAGTCGACCTCTCCATCAAGGGTGATTCTCGCGATTGTGGGTGCTGTTTTAGGTTATTAATTGGCATAACAATGTGGATGACCTCGTCTGAATCAGGTTGAAGGTTGGATCTTTTTTGTTAAGGAAGAAAGTAAAAATGTGTTGGATTTACTGCTATGATCAGATCGAAGAGAAGATAAAGTTCAAACAGATGTCATGGTCAGAGACAACGAGGGAGACATGCAGACGGGGCCACAAAGGGAACAATATAGACGCCTGTTGTTGTGAATGTACACAAATAACTCCCACACACACACACAAAGCCCCCTCTTTAGTCTCTGACATAGACACACACACACACACACACACACACACACACACACACACACACACACACACACACAGCAGATTAGGCAAGCTGATTTATTGGCTGTAAAATGTTAATATAGCTATATAAGCCATGCTCATGAATTGTTAATTAAGGCCGTGACAGACTCGTCACCTGAAATGTTAATGAGGTGAGATTGCGTCGGGGCCAAGAGGTCTCTGTGAGCCACACTGAGCAAATACAACAGATGAGCTGAATCCACAAGATCCCCAGCATGCTATAATAAGAACCGCTGAGGGCACCTGAGATGGGTTGTGCCCATTCGGCCATGGAGTAATTAAATTAATGAATGGCAGTGTGTGAATTACCCGCTGTGATAGTGAACAGGGAAGATGAATATGATCCATTTTTACATTATCCACTTTTTCAATCCTACTGGTGATGAAAGGAGTGTCCAGCTATTTTGTCTTAACTTTATATTTTAGATACAATAAGATGGAACTTTAAAATGTTAAAGTAATAATTCATCATTATTTTTTAACCAATTCTTAATAAAGTATCCAAAAGTGAAAGAGGAGAAATAAAGACTTGCGAGCCTCTGGGAGAGAAGATTTTCCTGTGGCATACAACATCAGGATACTTTTAATTTGTGTAGCAAACAGGCTCCAACCCCAATCTTCTACTTTTATAATAATATAATGTCTTTTATTTAGTCTTTTATTAAGAATAAAAATCAGAGCCATTCTTGAAAAGCCCAGTTATAGCTTCAATAATGATGGCTGGTTTGTTTTTAAGTTGTGTGTGAGCTATACAGGTACTTGAAAAAAATACAAATTATTAACAAGGGGGCGCCAGATAGCCTAGCGGATATGACATGCCACAGTCCTCATCGCAGCAGTGGTGGGTTTGAATCCGACCTCTGCCCTTTGCTGCATTTCACCCGAATCTCTCTCCTCCAGATGCTCCTGTCTCTCTTCAACTGTTTAATCTAATAAAGGCAAAATGGCACAAAAAATAACTTGAGAAAAATAATTATTATTAAGTTACATTTGTGTTGGGGAACTCAGTGTGTGAGCTGTCGGATTGGTATTGTGACTTTTATTTATGTTCTAGCTGGTCCAGTCAGATTTTTTTTAACTATACGTATATGCTGCGTACTAGTTTATATATAAAGTATTCCCTTTGTATGCGATCATATGAATACCTCAACTTCTAGGTGTCGTGGAGGGCACAAGTGT